ATATTAAATTCCGCCTGCTTCAGATTTTGAAGATTTCAAAATTCCGCCTGCTTCAGAATTTAAGTTGTATTACAAATTGTAAAAAATCAGAATTTGTAAAATTTGTAAAATTCTGATTAATTTACAATTCTAATTCTGATGTTTAAAATTCTGATTTTTATTAAATTTTAAACTTGAAGCAGGCGGATTTTAATTAATTAAACTTATTACATTAAATTCCGCCTGCTTCAAGTTTTATTTTAAAATTCAATTAAAAAATAATTTATTAAATATTCCGCCTGCTTCCTTTAAAAAATATTCTACTATACAAACCTGCCAATCTCCCTCCTATTTTTAAGTACTTAAATTTTTTTTATTTTTCAATACACATTAACGCGCATTTTTCCTTCATTTATTTAACTCACATTAATAATTCATAAAATTTATTTCTTTTTTTTACTTTCAAAAAATTTATTTTTTATTTTCTCTCCCTTTCTCTCCTTTCTATCCTCGCGCATCCCTTTAAAAATTTTTTTTGTTTAAATTCTTTGCAGTTTTGGGCACTTAAAAATTGAAGCAAGAGAGTAAGAAAGAAGAAAAGGTAAAATTTTGAGGAAAAAAATTTTTTTAATAAAATAAACCAAAAACAGCGCCGATAAGGGCCGATTTTTGGTAGGAAAAAAAAGGAAAGAGAAGAGACACGGCTGGTAGTGCCTAGCAAAGACTTCTCTTTTTTTTACTTGAACGTATGTATTTATTTAAAAATATTTGAATATTTGTTCCTTTTAAAAAATATTATTTTTTGCTTCTTATTCTGTACTTTTAGTTGTATTTTTGTCAACTGTATTCCTATTTTTTGTCAATGCCTGCTTCAAAAAAAATCCGCTTGCTTTAAAAAAAAATCCGCCTGCTTCAGAAAAAAATCCGCCTGCTTCACAAAAAAGATGCCTGCTTCGAAAAAATCCGCCTGCTTCAGAAAAATCCGCCTGCTTCAAAAAAATTCCGCCTGTTTCACAAAAAATTCCGCCTGCTTCGAAAAAAATTCCGCCTGCTTCGAAAAAAATTCCGCCTGCTTCAGAGAAAATTCCGCCTGCTTCAAAAAAAATCCGCCTGCTTCAGGAAAACTCCGCCTGCTTCATAAAAAAAATTCCGCCTGCTTCGTGAAAAAAATCCGCCTGCTTCATAAAAAAATTCCGCCTGCTTCAAAAAATTTTTTTCATATGACACTTATTTGCTAATGTCATTTTTATATAATTTTACTCATTCTTCTATTTACTAACAATTTTGTGTTTATTATTTGTTAATCCTCTTTTTCACATTTTTGGTATTTTTGTTGTTGAGGGTGTTCCTCTTTCTTCTCTTCTCTCTTCCTGTGACCCGTTCATTTTTCTTCCTCACACATTTAATACTTGCTAAAAATTCATCTTTTTTAAAAACCAATTTTTCTTTTTTTTTCTCTTAATTTTTCAACCATCAATTTTGTAAAAAAGTTATTGTCCGCCAACTGAGAGCTTTTTTTTATTTTTAATTCTTTAAATACCTTTGTAAAAGGAAATATTTTTTAAATTTAATTTATCCTTTTCTTATAAAAAATCCGCCTGCTTCAGAAAGAAATCCGCCTGCTTTCATATTTTCTGAAGGATAAAGTGCGGAAAATAAATTAACGAATTTTTCTTTGATTAACTAACCTTCTTTAAAGTTCTATAACTTTTTGTAAAATCAACCTAGAATTTTACTTTATATATAAAAAAATAGAGAAAAATCTGGGCTTTAAAATGATACTAAATTTAGAGTATAGCTTTTATTTTGAAATTTTTATGATTTTTTTGGTAAAAAAATTTTCACTTTTGCGGACGTCCGCAAATATTTTTGCGGATAATTTTTTTAATTTTGCGGATTTTTTTTGTTTTTTTTGTATTTTCTAAAATATTTCTTAACTGCTTTTTTTCTAAATTTAGTGTCAAAAAATATCATCATCCTTGTTATTATTTTTTAATTGTTCCGTTCTCCTCTTTCTTCTTCTCCCTCTCATATTTACACCTTATTTTCTCAACCACTAAAAAATATTTTTATTTTTTTTAATTTTTTTGAGTCATCATTTTTAACAAAAAAAATTATTTTTTAGTCAAAAATAGTTAAAAATATACTATTTTTATTTTGGTCATTGTTCCCAAATTTTTCTCACATTTTTTTCCATTTTTTATTTTTTCTAGGATTAACCAGCTATTATTAACACCTTTTCTCTTTTACAACCAACAACCTTTTTTCTTCTTCTCTTCATTTCCGCAAAATAAATATCATCTCAAAATAAATTTTTTATTTTTTTATTTTTCCTTTAGACTTGTAAAAACTTTAATCTAAAATGACTTGTAGATTTTATAAAATCAAAAAAAAATTTTTTTGACCAAAATTCATTTTTGCGGACGTCCGCAAATTTTTTTGCGGACGTCCGCAAATATTTTTTTAAATTTTTTATTTTGTGTAATTTTGATATTTTTTGCTACTGTTAATTATTCTGAAAATTTTTTTAAATTTTTAGACCCCAAAAATATTTTTTAATGTCCACGATAAGTAATAGTGTTGAATTTATTCGTTTACGACGTATTCCAGAAGCACAGCAGCAACAAACATTTCCCTCTTCAATACCTAAAATTGCTTCAACTAATAATTCTACTAAAGAAACCTCTAATAAATGGTCCCCACAACAAAAAAGGATTTCTCTGTTAAAACGTTCCCCCCGTCCAGCAACAATTTATTCAACAGATATAGGTGAAACAACGAAAATACAAGTAGTTGCTTCAATTAAAAATCAAAAAGTTGAAGCAACAGAAAAAAGTAGTGTTGTGTTGAAATTGACAAATGTTGTTGCTTCTGCTACAAATAATCGTTGTTATAAGCCTGCTTCTGCTTCTAATATTTCTAATGTGAAGCAAAATTGTAGTAGCAACAAGACTTGTAGCAACATTCCGCAACACTTGAAGCAGCTTAACAAAAATAGTAGCAGCATTACGGAAAATTCCCTAAAGCAGAAACAACTGCTTCAGAAGCCTGATAGCACCCAACTAAATTTATTAAATCAGAAGCAGCTTCAGAAGCAGCTTCAGAATTTAATAAGCAAAGATAATAACAAGTCTGATAGCAATATTCAGAAGCATATTCTGAAGCAAACTTTGCTGCAAGAAAAAATAAGCAAAACTGATAGCAATTTTGGCAGCTCTAAAATACCTTCAAACTGTCCAAATATTCCACAACATTCTTTTGAAAAGAAGCTAAATAATAATAAAAAATCTGAAGCTGCTACAACTACCACAAAACTTTTGCTTCTACCAACGTCTGCTGCTTCAACTAATAATATTAACAATTCTGAAGCAAATAAAAAGGACGGTGAAATTCAAGAAAATTTTAACAAAAATTCTAATCTTCCATCTTCTCTTCTTCCTCTTCATCCTCCACCTCCTCCTTCAATTCCTTTGCGTCGTCGCCCTCTTTCGCTTTTGCTTCTACGACAATCCCATCGTCAACAACAACAACAACGTGTTCAAGTACCTCCTCCAATTCTTCCCAGTGTGAAGTCTTCACTTCCTTCCCCTCTTTCCTCTTCTTCTCTTCAACAACAAAATCTTCCTTCTCTTCCACATGAAACTCAAATTGCTTCAACTTTGTCTAAAACTGTTGATAACGAAGCACAACCTTTAAATGAAGCAAAATCTGAAAATCCCCCATCTTCAAACTTGAAGGAAGAAAAAGAAGATCCATTATTATTTGAAGAAAGAGTTAAAGCTGTGAAGCTACGACGTCCAGCAGCTAATAAACAACTAAGTTCTGCTAGTAGTAGTAATAATGCTTCAAATTTTTGTTCAACTGGTGCTTCAGTTTCTACTAGTGTGATTGCTTCAACTTCAGCTACTACTAATAATGTTTCTGCTTCAACTTTTCATTCCAACAATGCTTCAGTTTCCTTAACTTCGGATTCTTGTGCTTCAGATTCCAACAATGCTTCAGATTTTTACTATCCAAGCACTGCTTCAGTTCCCTATGCTTCAAACTTATGTTCTTCAACTAGACGAAATTCTACTACTATTAAATCTCAATTAACAACTATTTTTCCTTCAACCAAAACATTAACAAATTCAAATATGAAGCAAATGGAAAATGTTTCTGTAAATACAAAAATTCGTTCAAATTCACAAGAACCTTCAAATAATCTTTGTATTGCTAATAAAAAGAATAATAGAATTGAAGCATTAAAAGATGAAGCACCACAACAGAAGAACCGTCCTCATTCTTTGTTGTTAAACTTTATTTCTGCTAACATGTCTGTTTTACGTAACAAGACAAAATGGTCGTCATCAACTTGTGCTGCTTCAACTACGTCGACCACTTCTTTAACTACTTCAACTGCTTCTGCTTCAACTTCAGTTGTTGCTTCTCCTAGCGCAACTTCTGCTTCAACTTGTTCCAATCAAGTTGCTTCAGTTTCTGCTTCATCTTATAACCAAACAGCTTCTGCTTCAACTTTCCTTAATCCTGCTGCTGCTTCAACATTTATTGTTCCTTCTCCGATCGTTGCAGCAAATAATAATCAAGTAGCGGATTCTGCTTCAACTTGTTCTACTAATGCTTCAACTTGTAAAAATGCTTCAACTTGTCTTACTTCTGCTGCTTCTGCTTCCACTCTTATTTCTTCCACAACAACAACCTCCTCTACCTCATTTTGGAATTTGCTTCCATTTTTCGGGAAGCAACAACAAAATACAACAAGTAAAGCAGCAAAATTAAAAAGAAGGGAAGAACGAAGAAGAAGAGGCTTTTCTTTTCCAAATTTTCATCTTCAAAATGAAGCAATCAAGCTTCCGGAAACATTAAAAATAGTTGCTTCAGAAATTGACAGTAATAAAAATTGTTGTAGCAACAAAAAGAAGCTTAATAGTAGAAATAGTTGTTGTGAAGAATTAAATTTATCTTTGCTTCAAGAAAATGATAAAATTAATGGGAATGTTAAGGAGGAAGATAATTTGATAATGAGAGACTCTTTAAGGGTGAAAAATAGAAAAATAAAAATATAGGGTATTTTGGGGGGAGGAGTATGTTATTTATGGGGGAGAATTGCTTCTGCTTTTACTTTTCCCTATTAAGCGGAAAAAAATTTTTTTGAGAGAAACTTGGGTGAAAATTTTTTTAGTGTAATCTTGGCATTTTTATTATCTCCCTGATTTTAATTATATTCTTAAACCTAAAAATTTTTTCTCATTTTATAGACCCCCAACGGCGCTCAAAATGGAAAAGCTCAATTGACAGCTACCTCATCAGTCTGTTCTTCTCATAATAATTTGCAACGACTTTCTAGTAGAGAGAATGGGGGAGCTCTTGTCAAACAGGTAGACATAAGACTGATTTTGTAAGTACTTTGGAAAGTGGGACGTTTCGACAATGGACGTTTTGTCTTTGGACGTTTTGAAATCATCTCATTTTTCAGATTCTCTCCAAGCCGGGTCCATATCCCCAAATTGTTGTAGTTACAAAAGGCGAAGAATGTGGATTTTGGTTAGATGGAGCTGTTGAACTTGAAGATATAGAAAATAGTGACAGTTTTGTTTACAATAATGTAACAAATGTTGAATTAAAGCTTGAAACAGATGATGAAGGAGCTCTTTCTTATAGAAGGTTGTTGGAAAGAGAGGGAGAGAATAAGTACACATCCCATCTATTCGCAAGCTTAAGATGGACAAAGTTAACCCTATTGAAGTCGACGAGACGCTTGTGCGGAACTCAGAACCTCGCTAGGTACTTTGTGGCACTCGTCTCGCTCGAGTCCAAGGTTGCTGAGTTCTGTACTCACAAATATTCACAAAGGAGAGTGCCTGAGGTGTCCGTGGAACTTCGGGATGAGATTTGGTAGACAGATAGATCATACCTTATTTTAGTACTAAAGTAGGGTATATACTTAAGTAGGGCATAACTAAAGTAGGGTATGATCTCTATCTGTCTACCAAATTTCATCCCTAATCCCACGGACATCTCAGGCACTCTCCTTTGTCGGTACATAAGTCTATTGTTAGACTGCGCATAAATGGGGTGTGTACTTGTAAATTAAGTACCCTTATTTTATCTAATTAATTTTTCTCTTTCTAGGCACTTTCTCGGTCGTGAACATCACAATTTTTATGCTTTAGACCCTTTATTGGGTCCACTTATTCTCAGCGTTAGAGTTGAAACAACTTCAATACAAACTCCCTCCTCCCCAAAATCAACTCCAAATCAACAACAACAACAAAATTATCGTTTAATTTTGCGTTCCCGTATAGGCACTAAACACCAATTACTCCCCTCAACTTCATTTAATAATTTACGCCCAAGTGCCAGTCAACTAGCGAGACATTTATACGCGGATATTGGAACTGACAGGTTTTGGCCTGTTGCGTTTCCTGGAGGAAGTGAATTAATATTACAATTTGATGAACATGTGATTAGTAATACTTACAAATTTGGTGAGTTTTTTGTTGAGAAAATTTTTTAAATAATGAAATAGTCGTTGCGATTAGTCGATACTCGTTGCGATATAGTCGTTGCGATTATATGGGAAAACTGACTATAAGAAGAAAGCAGAGAAGCTTTTCCGGAAACTGTCTCGTCTGTTTTCTATGGCCTGTTTTTCTTTTATTTATAAGAAGCCGGAAAAATTTTCCGGAAACTGTGTCTGCCTATAAACGCTGTTTAATACATATTATAAACACTTCCGGTCAACTTTTCCGGAAACTTTTTCTTTTTATGTGTCTGTTTTTATTTTATTTATAGGAAGCCGGAAAAATTTTCCGGAAACTGTCTGCCTACAAACACTAAATATTGTAATATTTTATAAACACTTCCGGTCAACGTTTCCGGAAGTTGTTTATTTTTCTATATGTCTGTTTTTCTTTTATTTATAGGAAGCCGGAAAAATTTTCCTGAAACTCTGTGTCTGCCTACAATTACTATTGTAATAACATAAACACTTCCGGTCAACTTTTCCGGAAAGCTTGTGTTTGTTTCCGGAAAGATTGTTTGTGTTTTTTTATGCGTCTCTGCCTTCTTTTCGTTAATAAATAGTTCTCTTTTGTTCTTTCCATATCTATTTTCTGCTACTTTCTTTCTCTCTCTTTATGTCCATCATTTTCTGTAGTTTCTTTTCTTTCCAAAAACAGTGCTATCTAATATAATTTCTCTCATACCTATTTCTAACCTATTTTTCTTTTTTAAATTTATTTTTCATTTATATTTTACTTTTCGCCAAAAAAGTATCGCTTCTCGGCCTTTTGGCTAAGATCAAAGTGTAGTATCTGTTCTTTACGGCTTAATCTCCGTAACGATCCCTACCGGGATCAAAGAGATTAACCAATTTTTGGAAAAGGGTAAGAGTTGGAAGCTTGCTTCCTCTCTGCCGCGCGTCGGCCCGGTCTTGCACTTACATCCGGGAACGGCGCATTCCTCCCTTATGGGAGGATTAAAATCTGTCTCCTAAAAAACTTGGCCTTGTTTTCTAGGTATTATCTACCAAAAATTTGGCCAAACAACGGAAGAAGAATTATTTGGAAATACTTGTGCTTGTAAAGAATTTAATGAATTTCTAGCACTTTTGGGTGACCGTGTGCCTTTACGTAATTTTGATGGATATCGTGGAGGGCTGGATACAATACATGGGCAAACTGGGAATGAAGTAGAAAATTTGAGAGGATTTAAGGGGAAAAATTAATTATTTTTAAGAGTATTTACACAAAATTCTCGCAAAAAGAAATTATGTTTCATGTAAGCACTCTTTTGCCTTACACAGCAGGGGATACACAACAATTACAACGTAAAAGACATATTGGTAATGATATTGTTGCTATTGTTTTTCAAGAGAAAAATACGCCGTTTTGCCCTGAAATGATTCAGGCAAGTTTCTAAATGAGTCGAACATTTATCAATTTTTGGGAAACTAGTACACCCGCAAGCAATAGACCTCTATGTTATTGAGCACAAACCCCTGGAACCGTTGCCTCCAGCAAACCCCCGAGTTTCACCAACTCCATTCTACCATTTTGAGCTTATGATTAATGGGGAGTGTGATGCTCGGGAGAAGAAAAAACCCGGGAAACGGGAGTCGGGTCGGGAAATGACCTCGGGAGTCGGGATCGGGATACCCGAGCATCACTAGAGTGTAGGTGGATTAGCGTGGTTTCTGAGAAATCTTCTGATATCCGAAACCGGAACCGAAATTGTTATTAGAGTAAGTGAAGATTTGCTGTGGAAGGAGAGGATCTTTTATTATCTCTAACCATCGTTGGCGCTAATTTGTGTTGACATTTCTCTGTCAACAATGACAGTAAAAGTTGTTCGGTGGAATAGGCCCCTGGACTTTTTAGTTCCGAAATTTCAATAAAATTTTGAAAAAAAAATTTCTAATTTTTTAGTCAAATTTTCTACACTCTTATTTGGTTATTCAACCAATTGAAAATAATAACAACAATAACAACAACAATTCTCCTCAAAACCTTTATTATCGAGTTAGTATATCCGCCCGTAATGACGTCCCTCCTTTTGGCCCACCAATGCCTTCAACTATTATTACTGGGAATAAAGAAGAATTACGAACATTTATTTTAACAAAACTTATAAATGCGGAAAATGCTGGATTGAAGGCGGAAAAATTTGCAAAATTAGCGGTGTTTTTTTAAGAAAATTTTTTTAAGTTAGGGTACTATAGTGGTACTGTATAGGGACTGAAATCATTGTCAGTTCAGTTCCGGCACCTATAGCTTATGAAGGGACGAATAATTTTTAGTGTTTTTGGTACCATTCGATAGAGAATTAAACACCCTACAAGATACCAAAAAATAAAAATTTTTGATTGATTGATAAAAAAGTTATAATCGATAAAGTGCCAAAAAATCATATAATTTGAAAAAATTAGTTTTTAGATCATAACTTTTTTATCAATAAGTCGAAAATTCTGATTTTTTTATGTACCATAGTCCTTTTAATTTCTTATCCAATGGTACCAAGAACGTGAAGAAGTGACTATTACTTCATGAGTTATAGTGTCGGGACTGAACTGTTCCGTAATCGATGAACACAAAATGGGGCCAAAAAGGCTATTTCCCCTTACTGGAAAATTGGCCAAAAAATATTTTTAAAACCAAAGGGTTAAAAAAATTTTTTAGGAAAGAACTCGTTCATCCCTTCTCGATGGACTTTATAACGGACATAAAGAGCGTGCTCAATTTTATGGAGTACCCTTTCTCGAGTCTATAGACCAACAACAACAAACAACAACAATAAATAATACTTCTTTAAATCTAACATCAACTCCCAATTCGTCTAAACAACAACTAAATAATTCCCCTATAATACTAAATACCTCAAATAATTTAAATAAAAATACTTCTATTGGCCTTTTTAGTTCTGTTAAAAAAGCGTTCGCAAATACTCGGTAGATGATACAGATTTTAATAAAAATTTTATAGCGATACTTATCTTATTTTTCTATATTTCTTTTTTTAGTTTATTAATCAGAGAAATCCGTTAAAATTATTTTAAGAAAGCCTTTTTAATTTTGGGGTTGTTTGGGCGCGGAGTGAGTGTTGGCGTGAGCTTTAAGGATGGTTTTTACACTGTTTGAAAAACCTGGAATAATTTAATTTTTTGTCTATTTGCTCTCCCAGTCTTACCTTTTAATTCTTCTCCAGAAAACCACTCTACAATTTTTAGAATTTTCGATTTAATAAATATTTCAAGTTTCAGTGAAAACACGAACATAAGCGATTTTAATGCATATTTTATTGTTTTTTCGACCAGAATTTCTGAAATGCTAAACCAAAAATTTTGAAATTTTTAGAGAAGATCTCCGCAAATTTTAGAATTTTAGATAAAATTTTCGAGAGATTTTACCAGGATCGCATCATAAAAATCTGCGCCAAAATTCTCATTTTTTGCTATTTTCGGGTATTTTCTGGGGATTTATTTTTTCCAGTTACTGTCTCAGTGCAATTTTAAAAGGCACTTGTCATATAAACCCTACGCCTAAAAGTCCTTTTGTTTCTGAAAATTTGAATATTTTTTCAGTTCTCGTTCTGTCTCCCAAGACATTGCATCGTCCTCATCCCACAATAACCATCACCATTCTTCATTTTTACCAACCAAAAAACACCAACAAACTACCTCCTCTTCTACAACAAAAAATCAACAACAAAATAACCCCCTCCCCCCTTTAGGCAATAATCAACGCCTTTCAGAAACTACAAGTAGTACAATATGCCCAAGTATTAGTAGTGAAAGTACTAATAGTTCTTCTGGTTATTATTGCTCTTCGGCTTCTTCTTCTTCTGGGAATTCTTCTTGTTGTTTGAATAATAATACACGACCTCCTCCCCATTCTCCTCGACAGAGTGGTGTTAGTAAAAGAATTTTGGCTAGAGAACAGAGTGAGTTGGGACATTCTGAAGCGGGATCGGGGTTTGCCTGGGTAGAGCCTTCGGGGGTAGAGTCGGGGTTTTGCTCGCACGGGTGTGGGCGTCGGGGATCGGGGTTTGCCAGGGTAGAGCCTTCGGGGTTTGGGTCAGGGTTTTTGACAAAAATTTGTCGGGGGACGGGGTGCTACTCTATTTTGAAATATTTTTTTGAACAAATGACATTTTGAAATATTTTAGGTCGTGTTGCTTCCTTAGCGATTTCTGATGATAATCATCCTTCATCCGGTTCTTCTACTACTTCTAGCCAAGTGTATGATACAGGAAATGGGCCACCTCCGCGTTGGCGAGCTGGTGCAATCCCGAATGGTTACCGACAGACGGCGTTTACTAATAGAGGGTAATTGGATTCTTAAAGATCACAAAACGAAATTTCGAAACTAAAACAAAATTTCGAAACTAACGCGAAATTTCGGAAAAAGCGACAACGAAATTTCAGAACAAAATCTCGAAACCAAGACGAAGCTTCGAAAATAAAACGAAATTTCATTATAAAAGCGAAATTTCGAAACCAAAAACGAAATTTTGAAACTAACGCGAAATTTCGTCATTTTAGCTGTACTTCAATGGTTTTCGACAATACAACTTCCTCTACCTCATTCTCTCCCAATAATACAACAAATAAATTAATTCGTTATCCTCAACATTCTCCTCCTCTTCAACAACAACAAACTCCTCCTCAATTTATTAAAAATATTTCACCAAATAATAGTGATTTAAGAAGAATTGAAGGGAGTGAATTTTTAAGTAGTGATGATGATGTTGATTATGATGAAGATGTTGAAGTGGAAGTTGAAGAAGTTTTGAGTGCTATTGGGGGTGGAAATGAACAACAAGATTCTGATACTGGAATGGTTGGTATAAGGGAGTAAAGTGAAGGTGTCGTTTGGGCGCGGAAACATTTTTGGCGCGCCTTTTAAAATTAATATCCAAAAATGAACCTAAAATTATTAAATTTTGCTCGGATATTTTTGAGAGTGTTAGCTAAATTTATGAAGAATATTAGAATTTTGTGTCAATTATTTCAAAAGTTGTAGTCGAAAATGTTGGTTAAACCTAATAAAATCACCCATTTCTCGGGTGATTTTTGACTAGAACTTTTGGGGTACAAAACCAAAAATTCTGAAATTTTTTTCAGAATTCTTTCAGAATTTTTTCCAGAAATTCTGAAAAATTCTGGAGTATTTTAGACACTCCTTTAAACTTACATGGATCTCTAGGTTTTTATCAGCATTTTATCCGACTCCGCGCCCAACTGACACCTGCGCCCAAACATCCCCCTACCACCTAAATTTCATTTTTAAGGAAAGCATGTCTTCTGGCGACTTACATAATTCATTTAATACAGAAAGGGCTTCTTCTATATTTAATGTAAAACATTTAAAATTAAATAATAAACAACACGAAGCAGAAGAAAAAAGATTAGAAGAATTGGTTGTTGATGTTGTTAGGTTAAAAAATGAAAAGGGAGAATTGTTAAGACAAAATGTTACTTGCCGAACTGATATTAAAAAATTAAAAGAACGGTGAGCGATATATGATACAAACTAGGAGTAATAGTTTCCACACGAAATTTCGGAAATAAAACGAAGTTTCGGAAGCAAACGAAATTTCGAGATTTAAACGAAATTTTGAGAATGAAGCGAAGTTTCGAGAATAAAACGAAATTTCGGAAATAAAACGAAACTTCGGAAACAAAACGAAATTTTGAGAATAAAACGAAATTTCGGAAACAAAACGAAATTTTGAGAATAAAACGAAATTTCGGAAATAATACGAAGTTTCGGAAACAAAACGAAATTTCGTCTCATCCTTTCTTTGAAAATTCCTTCTTGAAGGAGTGCTTCCTTTCCCAAAAAAAAAGAACCGAATTTAAATTATCCCTTTTTAGTCAATCATTATTGGCCACAGAATTGGATAAAGCAAACGATGAAATTCAACGGCTCAAAAGATTGATAAATAAATCATCTGAAGGTTCCCCTGACCCTTCAATTAATTTATCTATTAAAAAACAAGACAAGGAAGATAATAATCAACAAAAATCACTAATAATGTATTTTGGAGATGAAGAAGAAATTACTATGATTAAAAATAATCAAAATATAGTTATAGAAAATAATCAACCCCAACCCGTTCCTCCTCCTTCTACTACTACTTCCCCCTATTTTAATCAACTTTTATTTAGTGCTGAACAATAAATTAAAATTTCTTGTATATTTTTAAAAATGTTTTTGTTAAAGCATTATAAAAATTGATAATTTTTGATTATTTGATATTTTGTGTTCTTTTGTCGTTTTACATTTTGAAATTTTTTTAATAAGTTTACATTTTGAAATATTTTTTAGAGATTGGGACCCGTTTCCCGTTTTTTTGAAGCAACCGGGATGAAACCGGGACGGGAATTCCCGGTTTCCCGGTCCGGGTCCCTCACGGTCAACCTTCAGAACCCGTTTCCCGGACCCGGTTTTTTCAAAAGTCTGATCTCTAATGTTAACCTGATTTTTGTAGAATGCTTTGACCTTCTATAAATTAAAGATTATTAAATCCTCAAGCTTAGATTTTGTTACTAAATTAGAGAATTTCTTAAATGTTGAACTTCAATATATTCTCAAATTTTGTAAATTTCCGCAAACGCAAATTAATAAGTTTGGCGTAATGTTTATTTTGTTTTATTTATTTTTCTCTAACTACTCTCTTATTTTTGCACACTATTTTTCACAGCTTCCCTTAATTTTTAAAAATTTCCTGTGTTTTAATTAGAGTGATCCTGGTGGGATTTTCCGGGTTCTCGTCTTGGATTTTCAGAGACGGACGTTAATTCTATCTCGCTTTAAAGTCTGAATCTTGATGGGATTTTCCGGGATCTCGTTCTAAATCTCAGTATTTTTATAGACAGATGTGGGTATTTCTGGGGTTAATCTTCTTCATTTGATCCTTGACTTGTCACTCTCTTTAATTTTTATTTTCTTTTAATTTAGACTTGTTTAATCAAAAAATGGTTGTTCGAACATTAATTCCATCACACTTTAAAGCTCCTTGGGGTTTTGCAAAGAAGGGTGCTAAAGGACTTCGAAAAATAGGTCCACTGCATTATGAATCGTGGAAATGGCCTGGACAGAATAGAGAATTTCCTGAATTGACTCCTAAATGGCAGAAGGATAATAGAATGGAATTGAGACGTTTGTTTCTATTTTTTATTAGGGAGGGGGGGGGGGGTGTTAATAAGAAAGGTAGTGATTGGCCTCTCTCTGGATCCAGGACACGCCCGAATAGTCGCCAAGCCATAACGACCTTAGCCAGTCCTCTCATCGAGCTAAAGAGATTGGTACCAAAATTGTTAAGTGCCAGAAATTTTTTAGCAAGTTATGGCTTGGCGAGGCCGCGCGACTATTCGGGCTGTCCCATCTGGATTCGGCCCTTGAATTTTTCTGGAACTAGAGTCGTTAGCAAAGCATTTTTCGCGGTTCCTCTATTTTTCCCTGACTTCAAGAGGTTGGACAAGGTCCCTAATCAAGGCCAAGGGTTTTCTAATTTCTGAGTAATTGACTGTTTTGTCTCACATCATGAATCAGATAAAGGGGGAAATATTTTAAAAACCGATATCTGCGGCTCTTTTTGGTCTAACCCTTTAGGAAACGTGGTGGCACGCAAAATATTTTCCGTAGTTTTATGAATTTAGGGAATCCTGATTTTTTTGAATTCTGATTTCCTGATTTTCAGAAATTGGACGGCACTTCCTTGTACGTCCCTTTTTCTTGAGAGCACTTGTGTAGCTTCCCCCCACTAAGCCCCGCCCTTTCCTTCTTTTCTAAAATTGCCTTTCTCATTAAAAAATTTTTTTAAAGGATATACTGGTGTTCAACCAACAGGCTATGATGACCCAAATACTGGCAAATTTGTTCATCTACCTGAAATGATTCCAGAATTAATTGTTCCTGATTTGACTGGTTTTCCATTGAGACCTTATGTTTCCTACAGAACTGATATTGAAATTGAAAAAAGGTTTTTTAAATTTGTTTTTGGGTTGTCGGCATTTAAGATGAGTATTTAATAAGTTTAGGTTAGACAAGAGAGATTTTGCTTGGAAAATTATTTTTTGCCCTAGTCTCCAAATTGTGTTAGTGTGTAAAAATTTTGGTTATTTAAGTTAAAATTTAATTTTCTATTGCTTCCTACAAAATTTTAAAATTCTATTTGATCCTTGAATCCTTCCAATAGTCTATTTATGTTCCTTTTCTTTGGTAAAAAGATCGAATCTAGGAACATAACTAGCGATCCTTTCTCTTTGAATTTCCTACTTTTTTGGGTTGGGACCAGGACTGGGCGGAATTGCGGATTGCGAGTTTTTTTTACTTGCGGGCTGCGTTTGCGGATTTTAAAATTAAAATTGCCTCCAGTCCGGGCTGGGCTGATTCCTAATATTTGTAAATTTTTTATAAAATTTTTTTGGGAATTTATTCAGTGTCGGCATGATCCCTGATACTTACTTCGTTTTGATTTTTCTATTTTTTAATTTTTAGGATTGCGAACACCGACAAAATTCTCGCTAAAAACCCCAAAAATCCTCCAATCGACAAAATTTGGCCTCCTCCACCTGTTGACGCCAAATTACTTTTTGATTGTTTTTATGCTGATGAAATAAAGAAGAAATATTTTGAAACGACAACTGAAAAGAAGAAAAAAAGTGGATTTTTTGCGTCGCTAATTAAGAAAAATTGAGGGAGAATTTAGAGGTTTTTTTGTTTTTGTACAAGGAATGTCACGGGTACCTGAAACTCGGACATTTTTTCCGGCTCGAAACCTTCCGGAGAACTTAACGTTTCCGAAACCCGCCTCAACTTTTTTCTAAACCTTACGAACTATCACCAGAAATTTTTGAATAAAAATTTTTGAATAAAAATTATACCATCGTGTAGAGCATGGTCGAACCACTTTTTCTTACCCCCCTTTTCGAAATGGGGTTCAGAAGTAGAAAAGCCAAAAATGGGAATAGGCTATCGACCATGCTCTACACGATGGTATAATTTTTATTTAAGAATTTTCGGTCAAAGTTCGGAATGTTCCCTTCTCAGCTTCATTTTCTCAACCTGTGACATCCCTGTTTTGTACTCTTTTTTGTTTTTTCTTCTGGATAGTTTTGCGAACAAATTTTGCGGACAAATGTTTAAAAATAAACAATTTGTTCCTTTCCCCTAACCTTTTGAATTAATTTATCAAACTTTTACAATAAAAAATTTTTGTCCGTAAATATTGACCGCAGAAATTATTTAATGTTATTTATATCCTTGTCAGATACTTTTTTTTGAATTTTAAATATAGTAAACATTTTTGAAATTTTTTTTTGTTTATTTTTGTTTAATTTCATTTATTATTTTTATTTGTTTGTTTAATTTTGGTTAATATTTTTGTTAATTTCCAATTTTTTGATGGTTACTCTTCCCTTGCTGTTCAAGCGTTCTTTGCATACAACTGTGGTTAGAGGTTTGTGTTTTTTCTAAAAACATTTAATTATCTTTACTAGAGGTTGGTAAAATCGTATTGGCAATATTTCCAATATGCGGGACGTGATCCTATGAGGCAAATCCCGTAATTCAAAAAATGCGGGATTGTGCGACATCCCGCACCGACCTCTAATTTTTACCATCTAGAGGTAGAAGGCTTTAAGATTATTTAATGGTATTGGGGAAGGACCGGAGAATCCTAACCTTAGATCGGACTGACATGGACTCACGAGCGGGATTACGAAAAAATCTTGGTTTAGCTCTAATCATAGACAGTATTGGGGGTCCGGATTCTCTTATCGGAAATTTTCTGGGAGGGAAGAGAAGCCAAAAGATTATAGAGCATACATCGATTTGCTCAAAGCTACGAACCTGACTTTCCCTTACTATTACTTTTTACAAATTTTATTTTTAAGGACGTGGTGCTATAGCCCATCCAGGATGGTATCCAAGGTTTTTGAAAAATTTTTTTTCTATTTTTAAAATTTTTTAGAGATCACATGCCTGGTAATTATCCAAAAACAGACGAAGAGCGTCGTGCTGCTGCTATTAGATATGGACTTAGACCTGAAGATTACTCGTTTTTTTCTTTATTTTTAAATTAAAATTTTTACAATTTTTAGGCCCTATCCTCCTGACGATGTAAAAAATCATGTTGGAGATTATCCAAATCCTGGAATTGTTACTGCTGAACATAGAGGTATATAGAAAATTAATTTTAATAGTATAAGGTGTAATTTGAAAGTCAAAAACGTTTGGGGACGACGGCGTTTTGAGCAAAACTTTTTTAACCAAATTTTGAGCATTTTGTAGCTCCAGAATCCAGATTTCTTCCATTTTAAGCACCGCAAGCACAAATTTTGGGGTTGCAAACGTTGAAACTCTATAATTTTTTAGTTTCATATTCCTAACCAAGAAAGCCAAAAAATTTTTTTAGTAAATTAATGATGCTCTATTGATTGGTACCAAAAAATAGTACAAAAATTTGACTTACAGTTCGAAAGGTTCCCTTATACGAAAATGACTTGAACTGCTTTCTTGTTTGGGATAGGTTTAAGAAATTTACATTAGATTTTAGGTTAGGCTTGGATAATTAAAAATAGATTTGCTTTAGTGAATTTTATGAAAATTTTTTTATTTTCATTTTAATTTGTCAAAAATTTTTTTTTAATTTTTTTAGATCCATACGACTATTATAGCGATTTTCATCAACGTCGTAATTGGAATGAACCTGTAATGAGACAAGCAATGCGTTTTCGTGTTGAACGGTGTACTTTTACTGGCTTGAAGGACGACGATTATTTACTGTTTGTTTTTTTTGATTCTTTAAAATGATTTTTTGATGTTATAATTGATTGGGGAAGTGGTCCTTTAAGGGTTTATTTTGGCTTTTTGAACACCATTTTATAGGGTAGATACCAGGGCTGGGCGCGAAATTTCGCATGCGAAATTTAGCATTCCGCAATTGCGTATTTCTTATATATTTAATTTATTTGAAAAAGCGTATACGGAGTAATTTTTGTCAATTTTTTATGATTTGTTTTGCATGTATTTTGAACAAAAGTTTAGATTTTTCGCTTAATTTTTAGCAGTGTATCTTTCAGGCAAAAGGCCACAAAACTACAAAAATATTTTAAAATTAGACCAAAAATAAAGGCTCAGGGCTCTTTTAAGTTAGAAAATAAGTTACTCCGTATACGCTTTTTCAAATAAATTTAATATATAAGAAAACGCAATTGCGGAATGCTAAATTTCGCATGCGAAATTTCGCGCCCAGCCCTGGTAGATACATATGCGGGACACGCCCAAAACGGCGCAAAGCCCTTAAACTTGCTTCAAGATTTCCTATAAGGAGATTGGTACCAAAATTGATAAGATTCCACCAAGTTAGCGCCGCTTTTCAGTTATCGGATTTTCAATACCCCGTGACGTTTCTGTCGTCTCTTCATTTTTAATGCTATTTTGGCTCTACTTTAGGACATGCGTCCCATGAACTTTTACTATGCAGAGTTTATGAGAGATAAAAGCTCATGGGACGCATAATAGCTCATGGGACGCATTTTATTTAGAGAGAGAGTAGAGCCGCTATTTTTGCCGCAAAACGTAAGACGCTTTTTATTTGAACGCGCCACGAGGCGTTAAAAATTTTGATCGTTTTTTAAAATTTTTCTTCTTTCCCTGTTCAGAATGCAAAATTTTAAGGATTAAATTAGATTAATAAAATTAGATTTAATCCAATTTCTGGGCCATTTCTAAAATTTTTAATTAAAAAAAATTTTTTCTTCCAGTATGCGTACAATTTCTCTTTTGGCACAGCTTCTAGTCCCTATCGTTGTTTTTTATATAGTAGTGCTTTATAATGGTGAAACTTTGCGTAAAGTGCGGGATTTTTGTGTTGTCCGTTGGTATAATGCAAAGGTTTGTTTTTTTTAATTAATGGGGGAGGTGATGGTGGTGGGGTTTAATAGGGGTTCCATAAGCCTCCAAATTTTTTTTTACAATTTTTTCAAATATTTTCCTCTTATAAGGTAAAAATTGTTTAGCATCCCGAACTGTATGTAAAAATTTTGAATTTATTTTTGTACCATCGTGTAGAGCAGGGTAGAAAACATAATATAGTAGGTTTCTTTTTTGGCCCTGACCCCCCATTTCGAAAAGTTATAGGGGTCCAAAGTTTTCGACTTTTGGAGCAGTTGAGCGGTTCCCTTGTTAGACGATTTTACACGTCTATCTAAATAGTTTATTGTGAAAAACCTTTATTGTTAATCCATATTTTCAGATCTCAGGTTTTTTTGTTTTTACACATACTCCTTTCCTCTACATTCCTTTTTCAATTTTTCATAACGATTTTTAAAAATAAAAATTTTTCTTATTATTAATAGAGCCTGGATGGGGAGGGGTTGGTCTATATTCGATATAAAAATATCGAATATCGGTCCGGACTCATCTTATTAAGTAGTTATTTCCTATTTTACGGGGGTAGAGGACGATTCAGTATCGCCAATTCAGTATCGCCGATTCAGTATTGGCCGATTCAGTATTTGGGCTTTTTGGCCATAACTTTTTGCTCGATCAATATTTTAGAAATTTTTAAATATTATTTGATAGGCCTCGGGGTGCTGCATCTTTTTCATAATTGGACTGACCTGATCTGATCACTCTACAAAAAGTTATCACTGATAAACGACGTCACAGGCATAAAAAATCGGTTTTCACGCTGTAACTTTTTTTGTGATCATCAGATCAGATCGGGCCAATTATGAAAAAGATGTGGAATCACGAGACCTTTTGAATGATATGAGAATTATTCAAATCGGTCGAATATCAGGAAAGTTATGGCCATATACTGAATCGGCGGATACTGAATCGGCGATACTGAATCGTCCTTAACCGATTTTACGGGGAGGGGTCAGTCATTTTTAAGTAAATTCCATCAAAAAAATTTTTTTCTTTCAGTTTCCAAAGCAATACCCTTACGACTTTTTACGTGCATTTCCTCACCAAGATCCTCGAGATTATCCAATTTTGAATTATTCTTTTGAACCGGCTGAAGAAGGTAAAAATAATGCTGAGGAGGATAATGCTCGTCATCCTTTTAATGAAAGTAGCCGTTGAAAAAAATTAGAAAGAAAGTTGATTTAAAATATTTTTTGTGGATTAATTAGGGCAGGGATGGGTCGGGCTGACTGAGAAAAATGCCGGGTATCGGATCGGTCTGAGAAAATTTTCTTTGGATCGGGTTTCGGGTTGGCATTTGCAGGATCCTGTATCAGGATTGGGTTTTAAAATTTCGAGCAGGACAGGATCTTGCAGGATTAATCCTGAAAATCCCGACATCCTGAAAACTCAAAAAAGGCAGGATTTTGGACAGGATCCTGAAAAATCCTGTGCGGGATCCTGTCCTGTGCCGATCATGGACGGGGAGAGGTTGGTGCCGATCTCTATTGGTAACAATTTTCTTCGGACCGGATTTTGGGTCGGGAAAAAAAGGCCGGGTTTCAGATGGCCCGACCCATCCTTGTTTATAGGGAAAATTTATTGAGTTGTGTTGTTTAGTATTTTTAATGTAAAAAATAAAAAATAAATTTTTTTTGAGTAAAAAAATTTTTTTATTTTTTTTTTGGTTAATTTGTCCTTTAATTTTTTTTATTTTTTAAAATTTATTTAAGATTAATTTTTAATTTTTTTGGAAGCATTTTTATCAAGTTTTCAGCATATTAATGCATTATTTGGAAGATTTGGTTGAATGTATTTTTTATTTTTTTTTTATTTTTAATGTTTTAATTTTTAGTATTGGGCTTCCTTCCAGCTGAAATGAAAAAGAAATGTGCAGAATTGAGAGAACTTGATTGTCAATATCAAGGTTTTTATTTTAAATTTAATTTTTAGAAATTTTTGAATAATTTTTTTGTCGGGTAAATTTCAGAGAAAATTAAAACTTGAAGAAAAAAATTTATTCAAAATCCTCTCGATAAGGTTGATATGTTTTGATTAGTGTGTTTATTTGAGTTAAATTTTGGCTTAAGTTGATTGATTTATTTTTTAAGTTAAGTCATTGGTTCGATGCCATTTTTTGTTTATTTTATAAAAAATTTTTTTTGGTTTGTTTATATTCCAAGTTACGGGTTCAATGCCTAGTCGTATTTTATTTAATAAAATCAAGTTTAAGAGATTTTCAAGCAACATTTTTGTTGAAATTTTGATAGAAAATTTTTTTAACTGCTTTAAATTTCAGCAAAAATGGAAAAATTGGGTGTTGACTCAGAACAACTAATTGAAGCATATCCTACTTTAACTGCAATTGAGTCTGAAAAGAAAAATAAAGAATTGGAACAGGTTTTTATTTCGTTTTTAAATTTTGAATAAAATTAATTTTTTATTTAATTTGCGGACAATTTTTTGGATTTGCGGATTTTTGCAAAAAAAAAGTTTTCCGACTTGATAATTTTATTTTTGGTTGTTTCTGTTTATTTAATTGTTTTTAAGAATATATTCCTTAAATTTTCTAGTAAAGAAATTTTTTTCTTAAAATTTAATTTTGTCCGCAAATTGTTTAAAATGTCCGCAAAATTTTTTAAAATGTCCGCAAATATTAATTTTTCTATTTTTTCCAATTTTCAGCGTTATAACGAGGCTAGAATAATTGCAGATTCAAAAGTACATATAACAGAATATTTGCAGTCTGTGCTTGAAAAATATAACGAAAAAGTCGTTAAAGACTTGACTGATTTTAAAACAGAATTGGAAATTGAAAATCCTGGAGAGGTTGAGTTAATTGAAAAAGGTTTTTATTTTTGAAAATTTTTGTGGATTTTATTTTAATGATTTTATAAGGTCATAAAATTGGGGTTTTTTTTTAATTAAAAAAATTTTTTTTAATTTTCCTAAAAAATGTTGGATGAAAATTTCGGAAATATTTTTGCGGAGAAAAATTTAAAAAATTTTTTCTAAACTTTTTGAATGTTCCATGTTTGAGGGACTGGAATTCAGATCTCTAATAACTCGTTTTATTTTTTAAAGATCATCGTTTACCAATGTCACCGTGACTTGACTATAGTTTATTTTTGATACCATTCTAGTAGTGAGCCTACATGTTCCCTTTGTATTCTTCCGAAAATATATTAAATTCGCTGTAATAGTAAACGATGATTTTTGAAAAATTGTTAATATTCAATTAATTTTTAAATTTTTTTAAGCATTTATTCAATCAATTACAAACCCACAACAACCACCAACAGCTTCAAATATAATAAATTCAACGACAACAACGTCTTCAAATTTAATATTTTTTGATGAAGATTCTTCTTTGTCTTGTGATACTGTTCATAATTTACAAATTGAAGGGCAACAGCAATCTACTAATAGTCCTAATACACATTTAAATGGGTTTGGAAAATTTTATAAAGATTTTAAAAAATTTTCCCAAAAGACTCATAATGGTCAGCTTTCTCTCCTTCCTTAATTTCAGTATATTTCCCCCATTGCCTTCTTAAGTCTCTCCATTCCTTTGTTAAATAACTGAATCTTATAGGGTAATAAAGTGAAATTGTGAGAAGGGTGCAATTCTTACCATTATGAGCCTTTTCAGAAAAATAAAGAATGAAACATTTTCTTTATTTTACAAAATTTTTTTATTTTTTCCATTAAATTATTGAATGCCTTAGGAAAATCGAGTGAAATTGACAGATAAGAATGTCTGACCATTTTGAGCGTTTTCAGAAAAATAAGAACTAAAAATTACCCAAATTATTTTTATTTTTTGAAAAAATATTTTTTAGCAATGATATAATAGATGTTACACCCAAAAATGTAAATATTCCAAGAATAAAGCAACAAACAACAACAACTACTGCCTATGAAGATTTTAAAATACCCGCAAATTTTGTAAGAAATTTTTAAAAAAATTAAAAAAAAAATTCTTTCCTTTAAAGCGTCGACCTTCCCAATCTGTGGATAGTCGTCCTTCTACAACAACAACAACAACAGTAAATACAGCAGGAATACCTGGACGTTTACAAGATGATGATATTTTTGATAATGAAGTGTCTACATCCTCCCCTCCTGTTAAGGTTTTTTTGGGGGGAAAATTTTTTATATTTTTAAAGTCCTTTTTATAAATTGGTCCTTATAAAGACAATGGGGTAGCTAAAGAATTTGCGGAAATGAATTTGTTTTTGTTAGACCTTTGTCGTTTAATTTGATGTTCTAAAGGGACATGTTATAAAAAATAATATGCTCGCAGAATTACTCCTAATTATGGCGATTCGGTATCGAACCGAAGAACCCAGATTGTTCGGTTCAATTGCGGATATTCAAAGATTTTCCAAGAAACCGACAACCCTACTACTAATTTTAAAATTAATGTTTGGCTGGCCCTAATGAACAGGGAAGGGGAAGCCTTGTTGTGGGGCTTCATAATAACAAATAATAAAAAAAAAAGCTTCATAATAACAAACAAATAATTAATACTTCCGATTACCCATATTAAAACAATTTTCCAATCTCCTAAAAAAGGGGACTTCTCTTCTGTTTATCCAATTGTTAAAATGTTTTTAATCCTTTTTTTAAGAAACACAAAACATCAGTCCCAAATTTGCGTCAAATTTCTACTACTGAAGCAGCGACAACAACAATAACTACAACAAATATTGCTGCTTCTAAACGTTCTCGTAAATTTTCTAAAAATTCTGATTTTTAAAAAAATTCTGATTTTTTTTATTTAAAAAAGGCGAATGTTCTCCTCGTAGTTCAATCTCTTCAATATCCCCCCGTTCAACTTCCCCATCAACATCTACAACAATATTACCCCATGCATTATCTAAATTTCAATTTCCTCCATCTCGGCTAGCCTCTATGGAACGTTGGAATGCTGCATTTAAACAATCAACTAGGTAATTCTGAATTTTTTTTTCAGAAATTCTGATTCTTAAAAAATTCTAATTTTCAAAATTTTTTCAGAAATTCTGATTTTTAATTTTCTGATTTTTCAGAAATTCTGATTTTTAAATTCTGATTTTTAATTTTCAGAATTCTGATTTTCTCCAAAAGCCTGATTAAAAAATTTTTTTATATTTCAAGTTCCCAACCAGACCAACCAACAACGTCAACTACTTCATCAACATCTCATCAAACTAGACAACAATCTGTAGGCTTGTTAAGAATGCCTTCGTTTGCTGGAACTCAACCAAGCCGTCATGGAAGGCAAAGAAAGTAGGGTTTTTTTTAAATGATTTCTTATCTTCTAAATTCTGATTCTTAAAATTCTGATTTTTGCATTTCTGATATTCTGATTTTTGAGGGATTCTGATTTTAATTAATGTTCTGATTTTTTGAACTAAAATTCTGATTTTCTCGAATTCTGGAAATTCTGGTTTTTGCGTTTCTGATATTCTGATTTTTCAGAAATTCTGATTTTTTTGAAAATTCTTATTTTAATTAATGTTCTGATTTTTAACAAAAATTCTGATTTTTTAGTTCTGCTTTTTCTCAAGTTTCTGAAAGTTCTGGTTTTTGCATTTCTGATATTCTGATTTTTCAGAAATTCTGATTTTTTTGAAAATTCTTATTTTAATTAATGTTCTGATTTTTAACAAAAATTCTGATTTTTTAGTTCTGCTTTTTCTCAAGTTTCTGAAAGTTCTGGTTTTTGCATTTCTGATATTCTGATTTTTCAGAAATTCTGATTTTTGAGAGATTCTGTTTTTTTTGAAAATTCTGATTTTTCGGAAATTCTGATTTTCAAGTCTTTGTGTGAAATTCTGATATTTTTCTTTTTTTTTTAATTTCTGGTTCCTCCCATTTTCTTTAATTAAAAATTAAATTTCTGATTTATTTAAATACTAGATTAACCAAAAGAGTAGTACAAATGTTGAATGAATCAATGCCTAAACCACCAGAACATGGACCTGCTTTAATTGTTTGTTTTTTTAAAGATTTGTTTTTAATTTCCTTTTTTCTTCCACAAAAGCGTCAACAACAAGAAAAAATTCGAAGACGTCAAAGAAGGGGAGGAGGTGGAAAAGATGACAACGTTGAAGAGGAAGGTGGTGGTGGAGAAGTGGCAGATGAAGATGAAGGAGACGAATCTTTTGATGAGGCTGATGAAGAAGGAGAAGAGGAAACGGATGATAGGGCTTGGTGCTATTGCAAACAGGTGTGTTTGTGTGTAGATTTTTTAGACGAAAATTTCTTAATAAGGCAAATATGGTTCTTGTCCAGTTTTCTTCTCCAATAGAGTTCCATAATTTTGGTTTTCTGAAGATCGTTCTAAAAATTATATATGTAGAATATTTTATTTTTATTTTAGATATGGTCTTAATTCAAAAAATAGATAAAGGACCAACGAAAAAATATGACAGACAATCGGGGTCAAACTCATCCCCCTCCCCTCGGGAAAGGCAAAGTTGACGGCAATCCCGGAGAATTGGGGTCCCTGCGAAAAAAAAGTTTAAAAATAAGAAAAAGGGGTTTTCTAGTGTAAAAAATATGCTGATTACGAATCTGAACTCAGATTTTGAAAAGTCGAATCCCGAACCCGAATATAGGCCCTCGAGTATCGAAAAACCATAGGGGGGACCAAGCTGATTTTGGGGTGAAAAATTCGAATATGCAAATAATAGCTTATTCGAAAGAGCTCTTCAAGCTGAGTCGAATGACACCAAAATCATCGTGATTGAACAAGATCCGACGAAGTTATACCACAAAAAACAAACAACATGAGCCTAAGTTATTCGATGTTTATTATTCGAAATTTTCCCTAAAATGTCAAATGTTCGAATTTCGGGTTCGGGATTCGACTTTTTCAAAATCTGAGTTCAGATTCGTAATCAGCATATTTTTTTACACTAGAAAACCCCTTTCTCTTATTTTTAAACTTTTTTTTTGCATGGACCCCAATTCTCCGGGATTGCCAAGTTGACTATATAACATGAATAAAAATAAGTGCCCCAAGGATTGTTAGAATCGAAAAAATGATAAGGAATTCATCCATAACCTAAGCAGAACTTTAAGTTACGCATATTCTAGAGGGCTATAAAGGGGTACACCAAGGGCGTATCCAGGGGGGCTAGAGCCCAACTCGGACCTCTTTATATCCCTTTCAAAATTAATTTTTTCCTCAAATTTTTCAGGGTTCTGCAGGCAATATGGTGGCATGTGACAGTAAAAACGTCTGTTTTTTATTAACTTAACACAAAAACTACACAAAAATTTTTTCAATTTTTAGTGCCCATATGAATGGTTTCACTATGAATGCGTCGGAATAACACAGGTCGAGAAAGGATTTGAAGAAATTAAATTTCAAAACGGTTTTAGCCGCCAAAGGGCCGGTGGTACTGCCCGACATGTTCGATGAAGCTGAGTAGCGCTATGCGTTCCCGTTCGGCGTCTTCGGAACAACAACGAGATAATAAATGAATATTGAAAATTAAACATTTTTTTGTTTTTAAAAATAAGTTATTAAATAAAATAGTTTAAAAAAATCTTTTCAATTTTTCGAGCCCCCAGGCATTTAAAATATCAAATTTAAAATTTTATGCCCTGAGGCAATTTAATTTTCCCCCGAGGCAATTAAGACAGAATTCAAAAAATTATGCCCTGAGGAAATTAATTTTTGGGCTATAAACAATTTAAAAATTTTATGCCCTGAGGCAATATTTAATTTTTAAAATTTAATCTCGAAAATAAAAAAAAATTTTTAAAAATGAAAAATAAATATCTTCTTTAAGAAATACAAATTATTCATCGGGTAAGGTGAATGACTTGTTAAAACGCCTCTCAAGCAAATCTTTGAATTTAGAAGACTTTGCCTTCAACTTTGGAATAGGTGCGTTACAATCTGTAAAAAAAGTTTTCCATGAAAAAAATTCCCCCCAAAAAGTCCGCAAGTTTTGTCCGCAAATCTTATTCAAACTTGCGGACAAAATTTGCGGACTTTTTTGAAAAATTTAAAAAAAAACCTTCAATATTAGCAAAAAGAAGCGAGAGAGTAGAAACCAAAAAATTATTTCCAAACGTTTCGGCAAAGAAATTATCGGGCACCATTTTCATTTGATAATGGAGTACCATCAACAAATCATTGAAGAATGAAGGGGATTTTTCTATTGCTGATTTGCAGCTACAAAGTAAATGAATAATCCGTTTCCATTGATCAAAGCCTTCGTAGACCTTAATTGATGTTTTTATAAAATATTGGCCATTTGGCGTTTTGACTGGGTGGAATTTTGGAAAATGGGCGTTTTGAAATGTGACATTTTGAAAGTCGACATTTTGTCAAATCGAAAAGTTGGTAGGAGGACGTCCAAAAATCGGAACTGGACTCAAAAAAAAATTTTTAAAAAATCAACAGACCTCTCCAATAATGAAAATAACAAAGGCAAATTGTAGCTCTGCCAACACCTCTTTTGAATCCCCAACTGTCTCAATAAATTTCTCAAGTCTATCAGAAGCATCTATTCCCGATTTTTTTAAACAAGTATCAGCAAGCTGAATAAAATTTTTTTTGAGAAATTTAAAATTAACCGTTATTTTTGGAATTTCTGTAAAACCAATTTTAGAATCATCGTCTTTAGCATTCATAACAGGAAGGCCACTTTCATCAGTAAATCGAATTCGGCCTCTATGTTCCTTATCGACTATAGAAAGTCCAAGAGGATCATTCTAAAAATTATTAGGAATTTTTAAAAATTATTTTGGACAAGTTTTTAATTCAAAAAAATAATTAAAGAATCAAAGAAAAAATATTGGGCCGCAAGAGGAATCGAACCTCACCCCCTTAAGGGGAAAGGCAAACACGCTAACCATTAGGCCATGACGTACGTTAATAGTTTTATTTATAAATGGCTTTAATTAAAAAATAAATAATTAAATTACCAGTTGCTTTTCGGTTTCTGCTTCTAAAGTAGTCATTTCTACTTGTGATGAAATCCTTCCAAGTTTATTTGTTGGTGATAAACGTTTGAGTGTTTTAGAGGTAATATTGGATGAAAAAGAGACCCAAAGTTGGTAGTCTAAAAAAAATTTTTAAGAAAAATAGAAATAACTGAAGCAAAAAATGTTTCACCTTTTTGCTTCAAATTTACAAGTGTGAAACAAAATTTTGAAAAAAACTAAAACTAGGAAAAGCCCCAGTCGTTACTAAAATAAAAGGTTAATAAATCAAGTTGAAATTTTCGGTTCAAAAAAATTTTTTTAAAAAGTTGAAGCAAAAAGGCTTTAAAAACTTAAAAACGAAGCAAAAACATGATCAAAAGTAAATAAATCATGTTATGGTGTATCTTCTTTGCTTCAACTTCTAAATTTTTACTTGCCTCTATTTTGGGGATTTTTGCTTCATCTTTGAATTTTTTTCCTAAAAAAATTTTTTTACAAAAAACCCCCAAAAATAGAAGCAACTAAAAATGTAAAAGTTGAAGCAAAAAAGTTTCAAAAAAATTAAAAAATGAAGCAAAACTAACCTGTAAAAGGATAAGCACCCAAATGTGAGTCAAGAGTCATTAAATTACTTCGAACCCTTTCCAACTTAAAAAAAATTTTTAAAAGAATTAAAAAAACTTTTAAAAAACCTCAACATCATCAGAAACACAATTAAACAAATCTTCATTTTTCTTATCCCATTTCCTCAAAACAATTTCTTTTAGAACAAAATTGTGAAAAAATGCAATTTTTGGAGCTCCTGGTACACTAATTAAAAAAATTTTTTTTTGAATTAATAAATTTAAAAACAAACCTCATATATACAAAATGAATGCCTGGAGGAATCATCTAAAAATTTAAAAAATTTTTAATTTTCCAAATAATTAATTTTTCAATTTTTTTTTGCATTGGGACTATTTTACAGATTCCTTTAATAATTTCTAACCATTAATGACAAAATAAAATTTGAAAAAATAATAAAAAAAATTTAAACGGAAGCAAAAATGCTTCAAAAATTAAAAATGTTGAAACAAAACTCCAACTCCTTTTTAGAATAAAGATTAAAATAAAATTAAAGAGAGTTCTATAAATCTCTCAATGCAGTGAACAACCGTAAATATTGAGATACGGATAAACCCTTTTGATTCAAAAAAGTTTTTGTAAACTGAAGCTAACGAAAATGTTTTAAATTTTAATTAAAAAAGGAAAGGGGGGATTGGGATAAAATCACGCAAAGAATTAATACTTATAAGAATTAATCCCATAATTAAAATCAAAAAATATTTAAAACACAAATCAAACTTTAATTCCAAGAAATTTACGTCCAACAGTCCACGAACGACAATCAATTCCAAATTCACTTCCTTCAGGAAAGTCTTTTAAAATCTTTAAAAATTAATTTTAAAAATTAAATAAACCAAAATCCCTCCATGCAAAAATAAATATTGGGCAACGTCTTGAGTCATCTCACCAGTTTTAATAATATTTTTTAATGCTTCATCCATTTTTTTGAATTTTAATATTTAATCTAAAAAATTTTTGAAAAAAATTTTTTTTTTCAAATAAAATTTTTTTTAAAAGAAAAAAATTCAAAAAAAAATATTGAAATTTTTTTTCTAAATTTCAATTTTTCAAACTTTCAAAAAATTTTTTCCAAAAAAATTTTATTTTCAAAAAAAAATTTTTTTCCTAAAAATAGTTAGAAAATTTTTGAGAGAAATTTAAAAAATTTAAAAATATTTAAAAATGTCAAGCGACATAAGAGAACAACAAAAAAAAATTTTGGCCTAAGTGCACTTTAGTAACGTGATCTAAAAATCGATGATTTATATGTCATTCGAAAGAGCTCGGCGAGCTGAGTCGAATGACACCAAAATTTTTCCGCGGAAAAAATTCTGAGCCGAGATATAGGGCTCGAAATGGTCAAAAACCATAGGGGGGAGTAAGCTCATTTTTGGGGTGAAAAATTCGAATATACAAATAATAGCTCATTCGAAAGGGCTCAACGAGCTGAGTTGAATGACACCAAAATCAGCTCGATTGGATGATTCTGAACAAAGTTACGATAGAAAAACTAAAACCTAAACCTATGGGGCGTCGGCGAGGCGCTTGTGCAAAACCCCGCGCTTCGCGCGGGGTTTTGCGGCACGCGCCTCGCGGGGAGTCTACGGGCGTTGGGTCTGGGCTCGTAACATAAACCTATTCCTATCTCCCTTGCTCTGGATGTATTTGGGGCCTCCGTAGCAGCAAAAATCTCCACAGATGCCATAGGTAAGGAGCTAAAATAAAAGATCATAACTTTGTCAAATCAAGCCAGATTTCATTGATTTTGGTGTCATTCGACTCAGCTCGCCGAGCTCTTTCGAATGACATATAAATCATCGATTTTTAGATCACGTTACTAAAGTGCACTTTAGCCAAAAATTTTTTTAATTTTTTAAAAATTTTTTATAATTTTTTAAAAATAAATAAAAGGCCACACAAAAATTAGAAAATCCCCTAAAATAAATATTTTAAAATTCTATAATTAATTTTAAAAATCACTTAAAATTAAAACAACAATTCCGAAACCATTGGAATACCCTTAAAATAATTTATAATATTTTGTTCTGTTGTAGCTGCCATTAAATTTCTTGTTGCGTAAGTAGCAGAGCCAATATGAGGCAGAATAACTAGAAGGGAAATTCTGATTTTAATATTAACGGTAAATAAACTTTTTCCGGAAAAAAATTCTGATTAATAATTCTGATTTTTTAATTTAAAAAATACATTCCTGAAACTATTCTGATTTTTTAATATTCCGGAAAATAGAAAGAAATCTGACAATATATTATTTCTGACAATAGTTTCTGACAATAGTTTATTTCGTGTCAGGCTAACTCACGGAACGTACAAGTCACGGAATGATAAAAATATTCTGATTTTTAAAATATTCCTTGATTTGGTAATTCGGTGTTACGACAATTGCGGATACGCACGTGCGGATGCGACAATTGCGGATTAGAATTTTTTTTTTAATTTTAAAAATGATTGAAATGATGTTCCGTTTTTTAGTCCTGGCTGTCAGTTTCCGACTTCTGACGGTTTCCGAATCATTTTTAGACTGATGTGGCACTTAAAACTTTAAAAAATCTTAAACTTTTTAAAAATTTTATATCCGCAATCGTCGCATCCGCACGTGCGTATCCGCAATTGTCGTACCGCTGGTAATTCCGAGACTTGTCGTTCCGTTAGTTGATCGTTCTGTGATTTGGAATTCCTCAAGCTAGCCCCCACTTGTTTTATTTTAATCAGAATAAAAGTTTCCTCAATTCTGAATTTTTAAAATACTTTTTACAATAAAAACACATTCCAGAAACACTTCAGAACATTCAAAAACACAAAAAAACACATTCCAATTTTCTAAAATTTAATTAAAAACCCCTACCACAATTATTCATATTATGTAGAGGATGTTCCAAAGGAAAAGGTTCTGGATCAGTCACATCCAATCCTGCTCCACCAATTAAACCTAAGGTTAAAGCATCAGCCAAATCATTGTGATTAACCAAAATACCTCTAAAAAATTGAATTTTTTGAATAAAAAATAAAAAAATTTTAGTTCAAATAACCTGCTAATATTAATCAAAATTGAATCTTTCTTCATTAATTTAAAACTATTTTTATTAAAAATGCGTGTATTTTCTGGTGATGGAGTAGCTGTAATTATAAGAAAATCACTTTGAGCAAGTAAATCGTTGAAAGAAACAAAAGTGTGTGGAGAATCTGAAGAAAAATTAATTTTTTTTAATAAAATAAATTTGTTAAAAAATATTTCAGCCCAAGCAAATTATTTAAAATAATATAATTGAGAACCAAGGGAAAAATAATGCGCCACAAATGGTCGAACCAACGACCCCCACAAGAGAATAACCTAAAACGCTAACCAGAACACCACGGCGAACATTGCGTATGTTCTGGTATCTCTTTATTTTAAATAAACACATACCGGAAAAGAATTTATTATTTTTGTATTTTCCGGAAAATATAATAATTTATGGAAATAAATTAATTCTGATTTCCGGAAATACATACAAAATATGTATAAATTCCTATTTTTTATTCCCCTAAAACACATTCAAGATAAGCTAAATTTTTTGACTCCAGTTTAGGGCATGCGTCCCATGAACTTTTATGCGTCCCAAAAATTAACCATGATTCAACAGTATCTAAATTAAAATATGAATTTTTTCGCTCGTTAGCTCTTGAGCAAGGCTTAAGAATAAATTTTGAAGGATTGATTTTGGAACGCTTCTTGGAACGATCAGACTATTTTTGGGACGCACATACTCTGATGGGACGCATAAAAACTCATGGGACGCATGCCCTAAATTAGAGACAATTTGTTTATTAATATTCCAGAAAATACATAAAAATTCTGATTTTTTATAAAATAAAATACAAACCTTCCTTCTTCTTTCGATTATTATAAATAATCTTTTCAGGCATAAAAGGTTGTATTTTATTTGCTATACTAGTTCCGATTTTTCCCAAACCATAAATTCCAACAACAGAATTAGCTAAAGATTTTCCACACATATAATAAGGTGACCATGTTCTCCAACCTCCACTTTAAAAAAAAAAATTTTTTTTTTGATTTAAAAAATTTTTTTTCTAACCTTTTAACAGAATTTATTGCTTCAGGAACTAAATTTAAAAATTTTTTTAATTAGGAAAAAAATTTTTATAATTAGGAAAAATATTTTTTTTATTTTTACGTCTTCTAGCGGTTGATAAGAGAAGTGCCATTCCAAGTTCTGCTACTGGAAAAATTAAAAAAAATTACAAAATAAATTATTTTGGTGTTTAAAATAAGTTTAGAATACATCCAGGTAAGATACTGAAATAAATTCTGATTTTTAAATTATAGAAAATAAATTTGATTAATAATGTTTCAAAAATTCTGTTATTTTTAAAAAATATTCTGTAAAATATAAATATGAAATACTGATAATAGTACTTCTGATGTACTTTTTCTGTGTTGATTTATTAAATTTAATTTACCTGTTTCAGTCAGAACATCTAAAAATTTAAATTGAAATTTTGATTTTATTTTCAAAACAAAACTATGAAAACATTTCCAATAAAATACATTCCGGAAATATATTTAAATATTAATTCTGATTTATATTTTATTTCTGAATAGATATTCTGATAAATTCTGCATTTCGGAAAGAATTTATAGTTTCAGTATTTTTCAAAAAACATATGTCATTTCTAAAAAATATATTTTCCGGAAAATACCATTTCTGATTTAAACTGTTCAATTATTTATTTTGAAATCCCCCTCCCCCTCAATACAAACAAATATAAAATACCAGGAGTATATCCAACACGTATTCCACGTTTTTTACACTCTTCCAAATTTATGTGTTCGTAACCTACACTCATTGTCCCAATCATTTTTAAACTTTTAGCTAAAAATTGATTTAAAAATTAATTTTTATTGAAAAAAACCCTTTTCTAAAATTTGACTATCAATTTTATCCCTCACTAAACAAAACAAAGCATCTACATCAACTATTTTTTCTTCTAATAAAGTTCGAGGCATTTGACCAGGAGAATCTTTAAAAATACAAGTTTTTTATTTAAAATTTTATAAATTAGTAAATTTAAAAAATAATCGGTAGGAACGGACATATCGTGACGGATAGAATGGGAATCCAGTGAAAAAAATAACTTCATGCTTATTAAAAATCTTTTCAATAAACCAATGCACTAGAGGTGAATTGGAAATGACGAAGTTGTCGGAAAACGAAATTGTCGGAACTCGGAAATGGCTCAAAAATGAAGACTGAAAAGACAAAAACTCGGAAATCAGCCTAAATTTTTGGAATTCCGATTCACCTCTACAATGACCATTCAAAATAGAATGCTCGTGAAACCAGTATAGATGTTCGACGGTAAAATATCCCGACATGACCGTCACGATATGTCCGGCCCCAAAATAATTAATTTAAAAAATAAATTTCAAAAAATAAAAAAAGAAAACCGTGTTGAATAACATCCCCAATTTCTTTTAGTTTAGTCAAATTAAAAGTTGAATCAGTCATCAATATTTTGGGTTTAGCAGAGTTCAATGACATCATAGTAGAAACTAAAAATAATAAAAAAAATTTTTTTAATTAAATTAAAAAAAACCAGAAGAAACAACAACACGGCGCATACACAATTCTAAAAAAACCCTTAAAAAAGCTTTAGAAAAATTAAATTAAAAAAAAAATTTTTTTAAATAAAATAAATGTTCCTAACAAACATATTTAACAAAAATTTTTTAAAATTAATTAATTTTTTATTTTAAACAAATTTAACAACATTGAAAAAAAACATTGAAAATTATAATTGACTTATTAAAATAGAGGAGAGATGCTACTTAATTGATAACAAAATAAATTATTTTTATTGATTGATTTAAATATTTTAGAGAGTGGAAACAATTTTGATTTATTGCAAAATTAATTGTCCTACATATAGTTTCATATCATTATTATTGGCAGACCTAAAAAATATTTACGGATGTCCGCAAAAATATTTGCGGATGTCCGCAAATATTTTGCGGACATCAGCAATTAATCCGCAATTAATTTTGCGGACATCCGTAAAATTTAAATTTTTAAAAATTCTAATTATTTTTTGAAAACAGGCTCGAAAAAAATTTGCGGACATCCGCAATTAATTTTTGCGGACATCCGCAAAAATTAAAAAAAAATTTAGAAATTGGTCTGTAACTCAAAAACAATTACAAATTAATTTTGTAATTCCTAAACAAAAATAAAATTTCAAAAAAATTCCAATTTATCTACCACAACATTCCTTCACTTTTTTAACCTGTTCATTATTCCCCCCTCCACCAGCCAATTCAACAACACGTTTTGCAGCATCTTCAAATGATTCATAAAATTCAAATTTGCCTTTAAGTTGAGAAGCATTTTTTAACATTAATTTTGCTTTGTCTACATTAGTTCCTTTAAGTCTAAAATTTTTTTATCAATGGTTTTTTAATAAATTTGTGGCAATTAAGAGTTTTACTTTTTATCTACAACTTTTTTCCCATCTTTTACTATTCGGCAGTCAATCAAAAAAATGTCTCTTTTTTATGTATACGTCAGGGATGTTTCGGATTATTTAAAGTTCGATACTCATTCCAAGAGTAAAAAATCCGATTCCAAGCCATACCCAATTTTTTGACTCTGTGTCAGACCTGATATTTACTAAAAGGAATGCAAAAAAAAGACAGCAGAAAGGCTTGAGAACCCGAAGCTAATACATTTTTGTTTATTTAAGCTCCGGCCGAAAAATTTTCAACAAAAAATTCAAAATCCCCCACATTTTTTTGACTTTCCTCCTTATTACCAACTCGAAAATCTAATCCCCAACCCAATAAAAATCAAAATAAAAACCTCAAAACAACAGGTATATTACTTTCAAGTTCATTACAAGCAGCAATAACCCCTTCAGCAATAATATCACATCTCAAAATTCCAGCAAATATATTAACAAAAATAGCTTTGATTTTTTGATCAGTAGAAGAAGCAACAATTTTAAAAGCATTTGAAACTTGTTCTACTGTGGCACTTCCACCAACATCTTTTTAAGAAAAATTTTTTGAAATTTTTTAAAATTATTACCAAGAAAATTAGCTGGAACACCACCGTGTAACTTTATAATGTCCTAAAAAATTATATTTAAAAATTTTTTAAAAATAGAAATTTAAGGTTCTGGAACAGTTTTAAAGCCCAATAAAGGTTTAAAAGAGTTTCATGAAAGTTTATGTCCATACAAAAGTGTAAGTTTCCAAAATGCCCATAAGGACACAAATCATCAATGCCACCCCGATTCCAGAAACTATAAAAAATTTTGGACTTTTTTGGGTCAAAAATTTTACAGTAGGTAGGATTTCTGACATGTCTTATCAAAAAAGAACTACAAGAAAAGGCCGCAGAAAAGTGCATTTTTACAAGCCCCATTAACTTTAATTAATCATTTTTCATCGGGTTTTTAGTTGGAACTTTTGGCTGGACATAAACTTCTAAGGGACTTCTAAAACTTCAAAAAAACTTTATTGGGAAACTAAACTCGTCCAAACCAATTTATTTATTCATACCATTGTAGCCATTGCAAGACCAGCACCATTAACTTGTTAATTAACAATAAAATTTTTAAAAAAATAAAAAAATACCCATGCAAGCAATATTTCCATCCATTGGAATATAACTTAAACCAAATCTTTTGGCCAAAATCTCATTCTGACTCTATGAAAAAAATTCAATAAAATTTCAAAAAATCAAAAAAATACCATTTCTTCACATGTATTCAACTCAAAAATATTTTTTTGTCTAAAAGCGGCATTATCATCAAATATTAATTTGGCATCAATACAATAAACTTTAAAAAAAATTTAAAAATTTTGAAAATTAATTTAAAAAAATAAAAACCTCTCCCATCCTCAATTTGTGCAAACGGATTAATTTCTATTTGTGTAGCATCCACTTTAATAAAAAATTCGTATAATTTCTGAATTTGTTTTGCTGCCTAGAAAAAATAAAAAAACGTCTTTAATTGAATTCTTTTTTATTTATCTTCAATGGTTCAACACAACAAGGTCTAATGGACTATGGATCTAATGGACTTGGAGGTCAGCTTCAAAATTTGTAGGGATAGACTCAAGATGAATTTTTGCATTATCTGGCAGTTTCACGAAGGAATTTCTGTTTGGTGTCCTTTAACCCAACAAATACATCTTAAGCCGACCAAATCCTTCATATCCCCTTTAATATCAAAAAAATCTTTATAATCTGCAGAAATCCTTTTATACTGGTTACCCACCCAAATATTTGGTCCAGGGTAATCTGCCCTTTAGGAGTAGACCCCTTGAGTTGGTCATTTTAGACTTTTAGAAGACAGATTTTGATCCTCCCATAAAGGGAGGAGTGCGCCGTTCCCGGAGGTAAGTGCAAGACCGGGCCGACGCGCGGCAGAGAGGAAGCAAGCTTCCAACTCTTACCCTTTTCCAAAAATTGGTTAATCTCTTTGATCCCGGTAGGGATCGTTACGGAGATTAAGCCGTAAAGAACAGATACTACACTTTGATCTTAGCCAAAAGGCCGAGAAGCGATACTTTTTGGAAAAAAAGTAAAATATAAATGAAAAATAAATTTAGAAAAGAAAAATAGGTTAGAAATAGGTATGAGAGAAGTTATATTAGATAGCTCTATTTAAAGAGAGAAAAGAAACTACAGAAAATGATGGACATAAAGAGAGAGAAAGAAAGTAGACGGAAATGTTTTGTATAGTGAAGGGAAAAGAAGAAAAGTATAGAAATAGTATAGACAGTCTTCTCAGGATCGTTCCGGAAAAAGTTTTCCGGAAAGTTTATAGACTCTCCTCTTTTTCTATACTATTTCTTGAATTTTCTCCTTCTTATATTTAATGTAAAACCCATTCCGGAAAAAGACTATAGACAAACTTCTAGCAATATAAACCTTCCGAAAATGTTTTCCGGAAAATTATGGAAACACTCCTCCTTTACTATACTATTTCTTGAAGTTTTCTCTCTCATACATTTACTTAATACGTAGCTATAGAAAATCGTTCTGCAATAAAAATCCTCCAGAAAGTTTTCCGGAAAATGTCTAAAAAGCTCTCTTTTTCTATACTATTTTTTCAATCTCTCTCATATATTTAATAAAATAATTAGCTTACATACGGAACAGCTTCATTATCAAAGCATAACCATCCAGCAACTTGTTCACATTGTTCTTCAGTTATTCCCTTATTGATACATATTGGCAGCTAAATTAATTTTTTTAAATCGTTTTCTAAACCCCAAATTTACCTTTAATATTAATTCAGGATTTCTTTCTGCCACTTTTTCAATATCTACTCCTCCCAAATGACAGGCAACAACTACCTAGAAAAAAATTTTTTTTTGAAAATAAAAAAAAGGGAGTTAACCGGTCCACTAGTAGACGGATCCATAAGAATAGAAAAGTAAGCTTCACGTTTAATAGGGACTGATTCAGCTATCATAACCTGAAAAATGAGAGTTTGAAAAAATTTAGACTTCGGTCACGAAATTTCGAGTATTTTTCGAAATTTCGAGAAATTTCGAGTATTCGTAATACTCGAATTTCGTAAAATTCGAGTATTACGAAATTTCGAGTTTCGAAAAATTTCGAGTTTACGAAATTTCGTGTTTCGAAAAAATTTGAGTTTACAAAATTTCGAGTTTCGTAAAAATTTTTATCTCGAATTTCAAGAATATTTTTATTTTTTGTTTAAAAAATAAACAAACTTGATTAACCGATACACCATCTGATCCAGTTTGATTTGTTACCAATCTTCTTCCTAACATATCAAGTGTTGAAAATTTTGCTTGTTCTTGGCTAAAAAAATTTTTAAGTAAAATTTTTTAATGCTTACATAAAGTCAGAAAAAGTCAAATAAAAGGATTCAAAGACTTTTCCCCGATTTTCTAGCTTATTTCGATTCGAATCTGGGATGGGTCGGATTGAGAATCAGAAATAAAGTCAGAAAAAGTCAAACACTCATCCCTGATTTAACTCCCTCCCTGAACTGTAGATCGAGAGACTTTGGACTTTTCCTGGACTTGCACTTTTCCAAGACTTTTCTAGGACTTTTGTTAGACACATTTTCATAAGACAAAACCCAGGATAGGCGTTTTTCCCTCGATCTATTCCCCGAAACCCTCAAAATCGAAACTAGTTTTTTCAATTAAAAAACACTGAAACTTTGTAATCCACAAAATTTAACCTTTACAAATTATTTTTTAAATTTAATAAACCTTGTAGTAATAAACACACCACTTTGTTTAAATTGACTGTTAATAAAGCGACCTTTACCACGGCCTCCAGCGAGGATTTGAGCTTTAACTACATATTCCTTGTAATCTAAAATTAACAATCGAGACTGTTTTGAATTTTCGTGTTTCGAAATTTAAAACGAAATTTTCTTTGACTGCGAAATTTCGTGTTTCAAAATTTAAAAATCTTTTAAAAAACCTTCGAGAAAAACAAACCATATTTATCAAAAAGTTTATCCAAATCCTTCTCTTCTTTTCCACAAACAAAGAAATTTTGAACAACACAGCCATTTGAACGTAACAATTCTTTGCTTTGATATTCTTGTAAATTTAATTGTCTTGATTGAATTTTGAATAAATTGCGAGAAAAATAATTTTTTAATAAAGTTGAAGTTAAAGACATTTTTCTTTTTTAAAATTTGTTCTAAAAAATTTTTTGAATTTAAAGTAGGGTTGCGCCCCGACCCCGACTAACCCCGACCCCGACCCCGAACCCCGACATTTTTTGACCTAAAACCCCGAGGCTGTAGTGTAGTGTACCGGTGGTAAAAGTTCGGGACGTGACATATGTCATTCGATTCGTCTCGACGAGCTGAGTCGAACGGTACCACTCCCTACTTTAGGAAATAATACTGGACCGAGTTATAGGTCCCGAAAAATCGAAAAACCAAAGGGGGGACCAAGCACATTTTTGGGGTGAAAAATTCGAAAATGCAAATTATACCTCATTCGAAAGAGCTCGTCGAGCTGAGTCGAATGACACCAAAATCAACAAAATCCGACTTGATTTGACAAAGTTATGACCGTTTGTTTTAGCTCCTTACCTATGTCATTTGTGGAGATTTTTGCTGCTACGGAGGCCCCAAATACGTCTAGAGCAAGGGAGATAGGAATAGGTTTATGTTACGAGCCCAGACCCACCGCCCGTAGACTCCCCGCGAGGCGCGTGCCGCAAAACCCCGCGCGAAGCGCGGGGTTTTGCACAAGCGCCTCGCCGACGCTCCATAGGTTTAGGTGTTTTGTTTTTTGGTGTCATAACTTTGTCTAATCTTGTCCAATCACGATGATTTTGGTGTCATTCGATTCAGCTTGTCGAGCTCTTTCGAATGAGCTAACATTTGTGGAATCGAATTTTTGACCATAAAATCCCCCCTATGGTTTTTGACCATTTCGAGCCCTATATCTCGACTCAAACTTGTTCAATCAAGCTGATTTTGGTGTCATTCGACTCAGCTCGACGAGCTCTTTCGAATGAGGTATAATTTGCATTTTCGAATTTTTCACCCCAAAAATGTGCTTGGTCCACCCTTTGGTTTTTCGATTTTTCGGGACCTATAACTCGGTCCAGAATTATTTCCTAAAGTAGGGAGTGGTACCGTTCGACTCAGCTCGTCGAGACGAATCGAATGACATATGTCACGTCCCGAACTTTTACCACCGGTACACTACACTATATCCAACCCCGACCCCGACCCCGACATTCCCAACCCCGAAAACCCCGACCCCCGAAAGTTCGACCCCGACGACCCCGAACCCCGAAAAATTTTTATGCCCCCGACTCAAACTGCATTAATTAACAAGAGATCGGAACGGGATCGGGACTTTGATGTTAAATATATGAAGGAAAAGGGAAAGGAATATTTATATTTTCTCCTATTTCCTTTTGTTGGTCGGTGGTTGTGAGGTTAGGTTAACTGACTTCACCCATTTAGCTATTTTGATAGGGATGTTGTTCGAATCCATGGATGGGAATGAGGCTGAGAAGATTTTTCTTCTCAAAAATAAATATTTTTAAACTTTGATCTTGATTTTAAATTTGCAACTTTATTTTTTTTTAATATTTTAAACTTGAAACAATATTAGAAATATTAAACTAGTCATGAATTTTCCAAAATTTTTGCCTGCGGCGCAGAAAATGGAAGAAATCTGGCTCTTGACCTTCCAAATTTCTCAAAATTTTTGCCTGCGGCGCAGAAAATGGAAGAAATCTGGCTCTTGACCTTCCAAAATTCTCAAAGTTTTTGCCTGCGGCGCTAGACTCAATGAATGGATACAGAGGCTTTAGGACAATCCCTTTACATAAGAGGGGGAGTAAGAGTTATTTTGTGGGTTTGGGGATTTTCGGGATTATAAAGGATAACTTGGATAAAGTACTTCTTGCGCCTTCAACTAATAAGGAAATAGATACAGAAAGTGAAGATAATGAAGATTAAGTTCATTTTTGGGTATTGTGACTTATAGGGGGTTTTTTTTGGCTGGACCGATTTGGACAAATGAGGTGTCATTCGAAAGAGCTCGCCGAGCTGAGTCAATCAGGGACCGAGATACAGACCCCTGAAGTTTGAAAAAGAGAAGGGGGGTCGAATGAGCTATTATTTGCATTTTCGAATTTTTCACCCCAAAGTGAGCTTACTCCCCCCTTCTCTTTTTCAAACTTCAGGGGTCTGTATCTCGGTCCCTGATTGTCGGATCGGCTCCACTCGCCCCTCAATCGACTCAGCTCGGCGAGCTCTTTCGAATGACACCTCATTTGACCAAATCGGTCCAGCCAAAAAAAACCCCTATAAGTCACAACATTCTCATTTTTTAATGAAAATGTTGATTTTGAACAGTAATGTTGGATAAAAATGCTGGATTTTGTAAATTTTTACTTCAACCCCGACCCCCGACCCCGAACCCCGACATCATTTTCAGCCCCGACCCCGAACAATTTGAGCAACCCCGACCCCGACCCCGACTTTGTCAACCCCGAAAACCCCGACCCCCGACTTTTTCAACCCCGAAGGCTCGGGGCGCAACCCTAATTTAAAGAATTGAATTTTTTAAAAATAAATCCATTTAAAAGTTTTCCAATTTTTACAAATAAAAAAATGTTTACAAAAAAAATTTTTTATTGCTGTTTTTATCGTCAATAAATCAAAAAAATTAGGAGAGAAAAAATCAAGAGATTCAAAAAAATTTTTTTACAATTAATTTTTAATATTGGGGTCGACGGTTCTTGAAAAATTTTCAAATTTCCGTACCCGTCCAAAGAATCAAAACTTTGAGAAAAAAATGAATTTTTCTCGAATACTCGGTCAGGCTATGGACAGATTCAAACCGACTACCCTATGAATGAAAGAAGAAATCGAAATAAATAAAAAAATAGCAAATATCCGAACAGTTTTTAGATGATAAGAATTTCAAAAAAAATTTTTTTACTCGAAAAATTCAAAAAATTCCCCTTTTTTCAAGAAAATATTGAATTATTAATTTTAATTTGTTTAAAATTTTTTCTCTTCGTTGTTGTAGTCGTTGCCCCAGTATTATAAACATAATTTTCTTCATCAATTTTTCCCCCATTTCTTTTTTTCGAATTTAACCAAAAAGGTAATTTTCGTTTTTTAGGGGAAGATATTGAAATTATATCTTCTTCCTCCTCCTCCTTTTTTTCTTCATCATTCCCTCCTTCACCCTCTTCTTCTTCCCTTCCTTTTGTTAAATTTTCATTCAAATTTAAATTTTCATTTTCACTAGTATCAATTCCATATTGATATTCCAAAATTGAAAATATTATTTTTAAACGATTGTAGTCGACAAGATTTTCAGGCAATAATTCCATTATGGGCTTTAGACGAATTATGTCTTTGAAAAAAATAAAATAAAATTATATTTTTAAAAATTAAGAAAAAACTAGATTTATAAATCCTCCCTTGGATTTATAAACTATTTTTTATAAAACTAGCTCTTTTATAAAACGATCTAGTCATTTATTACCTCAAATCTAGCCTAGATAAAATTTCCAAAACGATCCTAGTCAAAAATTCTTTCCCAAAAATCACAATAAATTCAATTGTCTTTCTATTGGGAGGTGAAAGAAGAGTATCGACAAAAAAAAATTTAATTTTTTACCTCTTCCATTCTCCTTTATTTTATTATGAACAATTTCAATTAATTCAGAAGTTATTCCAAGCGTTTTTAAATGTAAAGGTAAACCACGTTTTGCTGCTGTAGAAAGATGATTAGCAACTGTACTTGAAGTGGCTTTCATATTTGAAGAGGTTTCTTCCTTAATTTAAATTAAAAAATATAAATGAAGCCAGCATTAAAAAAATTTTTCCGTGTCCAATATAAGAAACTTGGAAAGGGAAAAAATAATTCTTAACATATAATTAGCCTAAAACTAGAAATTTTAAAATTTGTACGAACTAGCCCTTAATACATGTACTAGATAAGTGCCCCTTTCCAAATTTCAGATCATCTCTGACACAGAAAATAATTTTAATAATTCTGACACATTACAAATAAAGATTTTGTTACTAGTTTCCAAATACTGGTCAAGAGAGATTTTTCAACAAAAATTTATCTTAAAAAATTGCAGGAAAACCCCCTTCCTAGTTTATACCAAAAATAAAAATTTAAGAGAATCCCCTTCTAGCTTTTAGTTAAAAAATTTCTTTGAAAATATTTCTAAAGAAACATCAAAAAATTGAAAAATTTAAACAAACCAATGAACGATTATAGAGAACATGAGCATGATAATAACTTTTCTCCGTTAAAGTCAATCCATTTTTAAGAGATTCCAAATCTTCAGGAAACTACAAATTTATAAAAAAAAATTCAAAAAAATTTTAAAATTAAAAAAACCTCAATTTCAGCTTCCTTAGAGTCCGTAGAAATATTATTTTCTGAACAAAACTTTGAAATAAGTTGAGTAATGGGAATTAAAAATTGTTTTCTTCGTTGTTCAGGAAAGCCTTCAACTAGCTCTAATGATGCTTCACTAAAAAATTTTTTATTTAAATTTAAAAAAATTTTCAGACATTGAAAAAATTTTTTATTAAACATTTATCGCTCGAAATATTTTCTAAAAATTTTTTCCCACTCGTTTACAACAAAATAAAAATCATTATCCACGAGCGGGGTCGAACCTGCAACCCTTTGACAGTGGAAACAACCTCATTTCCCACTAAACCAAAACTTTGATTTTTATGAAAAAATTTTTGGACGACAGTTCGAAGGTCCCCGTGTGTGCAAAAAATTTATTTAAAAAATTTAAATAAAATATACTTTGTTGGACGAATCTTAACAAGTCCTTCAATAACAGTATTGCTGTAAACTGAGTTGGCTGGACAGTCGGATTCAAGAGCTAATTGATAACGTAAATCTTCTAGTTCTTTTCGAAGTTGAGGCAACTGAAAGAAAGAGTTTTTAAGACATTTTCAAGATTTTGACATTATGAAATATTTTTCCCTTTTTACCATTTTTAAATATTTTCAAATTTTTACCATTTTGAAACTTTTTTCCTTTTTACCATTTTGAAATATTTTTCACGTTTTACCATTTTAAAATAAAAACCAACTTACCATCTCATAAACAAAAATATTTTTATCAGAAGCAGAAGCAATACAAGGATAACAACTAGCATCTTTATATTCTCGTTGTTTTTCTATACCCAATAATTTTTCTGAAATAATTTCTACAATTTTGTTTGGAATTGAAAGTGTTGTTTTAGTCAAATCTTTTCCTCCATTTTCGACATTATTAGAGTTGGATAAATATTCAGAAGGAATTAATTTTAATTCCTAAAAATTTAAATTTTTAATATTTTTTTCCAGTCGATGTAAGGTGGGGGGAAAGGAACCGAAGGGTGTAGGATCCGACAAGTCTTAACAACGCTGTGATGTGTGAACCAGGGATGGACTGGGTATTCGGATTTTTTTAGATTTTAAAAATTTTTCAAAAATTAAAAATTTTAACGACCCGATATTCGGATTTTTTCCGACTCGGAATCCGAAACCCGATCCTATGAAAATTTTGAAAACCCGAACCGAAACCTGACCCATCCTGGTGTGAAAACACAAAAGATGAAAAGGTTATGATTTTTTGTTTAACAAAAAATATATGGGTATGTGCTTGTTAATATATCCTGGTTTTTGGGGAGATTAGAAGAAAAGGACGAAAAAGTTATCTAATTCCCCTTAAAAAAAATTAAAAAAAATTTTTCTCAATTTTCTAAAAATTTTTAATTCAAAAAAAAAATTTATTTGCAAACCTTTCCTCCTTCTCTTAACCATTTTTCAGCTTTATCAGAAATATTTGTAATACATCCAAATTGATTAAATGTTGATTTTGAATCAATTAAATAACCATAATTTCTTAATAATTTTCCCAATTCTTTCCACCACATTTCTGAACGTGATTTTCCACAACCATAAAGCGGATGTTTTGATAAATCTTGTCCTTTAGTAAATGTTTTTGGTGCTTTTGATAAAACTGTTTTCTAAAAAATAAATTTATTTTAAAATTAATATAGAAATATTTGTCCGCAAAAAGTATCCGCAAGAATCTAGATTGAAATTTCTTCGATTAAAAAACTCGGATAATTTTCACTAGAGGCCGGATTTAGAGATGAGATATCTAACGAAAATTTCGGTTACCGAAAACGATATTTTATGAAATACATATCAGGCGTGTGCCGTAACAGATTGTAAAAAGGTGAGCGGTGAAAGTCCAAAAAAGGCGAAAATATGGTGAAAGATGAAAGGCGAAACGGCACGCCCCTGATACATATCTATTACGATAGAGACTCACAGTCCAGAGTCTTTATTTTCTAGAATATTTGGAACCGAACCACTGATGTGAGGATTTCCAGGTTCGGTTCCAGACAGGGATGTGTCACGCCAAAACCGGCCAGAAATTTCGCCAAACTTGACGCACATCCCTGGTTCCATATCCGAAGATTTTCTAAGAACCCCCCCCCTACTTCTTATAAAACACAAAAAAACTTACACTTCCTCTAATAAAATCTATCGGTTTATTTAATCCAGTTCTTCCACCAAAAACTTCAACAATTGTTCTAAATAATTTTTTAGCCTCTTCACCAAAATCAAAAATCATTTCTTCTTTATTATATCTTTTATCTACTCCAGATTGTAACAATTTTGTGCAATTATCACAACAATCACTTTTTGGAATTTCTGGATGTTTTACATTTTTATCAAAATAGGACAAAATTAAATAGCGCCGACAACTTGTTGTTGTTAAAAATTGTTCCATACGACGAAGCATATCCAATTGATGCATTTCATAATCTTTTGAGGATTTTGTTGTTATATTTATATTATTATTATTTTTGTTGATTATTCGATTTCTTGAAAAAAAACAAAAAAAAATAAAAGGCTTAAAAAATTGCGGACTGAGACCATGTCCGCAAGTTTTGTCCGCAAATTATTAAAAAACATTTTATTAAAACTAGGTTTGTTGAAGAACGATTATTAACCGGTACCCATAGCTTTCAATTATGGCAGGCTTTTGATTTACCCGGTTGTCGGTTTTTGACTGACCCATGGTTTTGGTTAACCAAAACCAGTTTTGGCCAAATTTTTAATTCAGAATATCCTATTCATATATTGTCCCATTCAAACGATTTTTAAGAAGTATTCTATACACAGGATACGAATTTGTGTCAAGTTGGGGTTTGAAAAATCGAAAAGAGCGGATTACTTAATGGTCACTGAGGTCTCAAAAAAATTTCAAGTTGAGGAGGATGACATCGTCCGCAAGACCATCCGCCGCAAGTTTCGTCCACAAATTAAAAAACAAAATAAACTTTAAACAAACTTGTGTATAAGCATATCACTATTAGAGTAAAATACTATGCATCTACTAGGGAATCCATCACGTCCAGCTCTTCCAATTTCTTGATAATAACTTTCAATATTTCCAGGTGCTATAAAAAATTAATTTTTTTCTAAAATTCCCTTTAAAAAAAACCGCCTTACATCCATAATGTATAACTTTTCTAACATCTCTTTTATCAATTCCCATTCCAAAAGCAATTGTTGCAACACATGTTGTTGCCTTTTCTGTTAAAAATTCTTTATGGGATTTTTCTCTTTGTTTATTTGACATTGCTGCATGATAACCTACTGCACGAACTCCTATTTCTAAAAAATAATAAAATTTTTATTGAAATTTAGAGAAAATTTAATTTAAATAACACACATATTACCTAATAGTAGAAAAATGAAAATACCCGAACGCACAACATAAATAATTAGGGTTGGGGTTTTCGAGTCGGGCCGACGTTCGAGCCATTTTTCTCGGGCCTCGTTTTTATTGGCCAGCCCGACCGAGTCATTTTAGGGCCAAAATTCTATGCCCGCCTCGATCTTTCGGACCGGGCCCTCAACCCTATAAGCGACTACCCACTCAAGCATACAACACACAAAATAGATTTTAGCTTTTTATTTATTAAATGGGTAGGTTAAGAGGTATGATGAAAAAAAACCCCAAAAAAGGAAGGAATAAACTAATTATAGCGAAGGAAGAATTAACACGGATTTCCAAAAAGGAACCAAAAAGGGAACTTAAAATAAACGTTTAATTTACGCTTAAATTATGAAAAACTAAATTTTTAAACCCATACAAGAAAATTAATTAAAAAACAAACTTCTTAATTGTTCTGTTATTTGATTTACATGATCTCTACTTTGACAATAAATTATAGTAGAGCCACCAAAATGTAACCCAAGTTTGGGATCTTCAATTAAAAGGGATTCCAAATCGTTTTGAACGGCTCTTTGGAAACTAAAAAATAGACAAAAATAATTTTACAAAATAAATTTAAAAGTAAAAATACGTGAGCGATTGTGTTCGTTTCTTGACTTCAATGAAAAGATTTTTTCTAAAATAAAAAATAAATAAACACTACTTTAAAATTTTAATAAATGAGATAATATTTAAATTAATACGGGAAGGTGACATATAAAAAAGAAATTACATTAGATCCCGAACTTTATAAATGAAGTAGTTTGTTAGATGTTCTAACATAAAAATAATATAATAGATTTAATCGAATTCTTTGGATAATCGAAACCGAATGGCAACTCGAAAACTGATTTTTCGGTTAGGGTTCAAACCGACAAATGGAAGGATTCGGTGAAGCTGTGGGTTAAAAATTGACTTTAAAAATAAAAATAAAATTGAGAATACAAAAACTAAAAACCTCCCAAAAAATTAAAAGCAAACCTATCAAAACCTGTCACAGTAATTTTAGGCGATACCAGCCTCAAATTTTCCACAATATCATTTCTAACGGGTTCTGTTGCTGTAGCAGTTAAGGCCATAACTGGGACTTTAGGTAAAGATTTTCTCATATTTGCAATTGTTCTATAGCCAGGTCTAAATTCGTGTCCCCAAGCAGAGATACAGTGAGCTTCGTCTACAGCCAAGAGGCCAACAACTGCAAAAAATAAAAAATTTTAAGAGAAAAAGTTGTCAAAAAATCATCAAAACCCTCAAATCTCCCTAAAAATCTTAAAAACCCCCATACATTGAGCAATTCGATCAACATAGCTTGGCGAACATTCATACATTTCTGGTGTAATATACAAAATTTTCAATTTATTCATTCTAATTTTGTCGAAAATTTCTTCAAATTTTCGTCGAAGGAGGAAATTAATTAAATTATTAATTTTTCCTTTTTATTTTTTATGACATCACTTTTTAGTGATCGTTATCGCCTACTTTGCTCTTTCTCTCTTTTTTCCATAAAATGGATAAATTTATCCATTTTATCTTAAATTCCAATCTAAAATTATTAATAATTTCTATCCAAAAGGGAAAAAAGGGAGAAAGTGTGCATTTCCGCCAACATTATTAAAAACATATAATTTTTTATGTTTTCCATTTTTGCCATTGCCCCACATTCTTTACCACACACATTAATTATGGCCTATTTAAGCCAATTTTTTCCCCTTACACCAACATTCTTACATTCATACATACATTCTTTTTAACCTTTTCCTAACCATTCCTACCAGCCTTTTAATAACCACACACATACAATTATAATTTTCTTTAATTAAATAAATATTTTTTAATATTCTTTTGTTTTAATATTCTTTGGTAATATTCTGTGAATATTCTTTGGGAATATTCAGTTGTTCGTCTATCGTCTAGACTTGGCCATCCATCTCAAACTTTCGCCTATTCGCCTAACACTCTTTTGGTTTGCCACGTTTTAATCTTTGGGATTAAGACGCTCATCGACTTCAACACACTTTCGACTATTGTTTTTAGCGGCGAACTCCTAGTTCCCTCTTGGGAATCCCGACCTAGGTAGTTCCCGTTAAAATTGGTGCCACGACCCGGGACAGCCGTCGACATTCATCAGTCAACACAACATTCAAACATCAATCCGACCTTTGCAGTCGGCACAAATTTCGACTAATTTTCGTCTGCGCCAAAAGGATCAGCCGTCGACAAAGACCCACATTCCCAGCAGAACAAACGACTATTAGTTGAGCAAGTACAGCGACCACCAGCCGTCTAACTGTACACCATTAATTTTATTTGGCAAGCCCCGACTAACCAACATCAATGGCACGAATTATCCGTCAAGAACTTTATGGAACGACAAGAGCACTCGTCGAACACCTCAAAATCGCCGAATCTTGCATCGTCCAACTTAAATCTAAACCGTCAATTGAGAAAGAAGATGAACTGGCAGCATCAGTAGAAATGGAACTCGTCCATCTTACAGAACGAACCAACCAACTTCAAACCATCATTAGCAAATACAATCATTTTATGGATGGCCTCGACGAACAACAGCAAAACGAACATGCAGACTACCTCGCCAATTTCTTAACATACGACAAAATATCCGACCAGAACTTGGAAAATGCAGAACAATGGCCAGTCTCAAAATTGGTAGACAGAGCAAATGAAGTGATCAACCGGATCAAAGCGTACAGAGTTATTCGGCAGATGACGACAGATAGCAACAGCAATAATTCACCAAGAGCGCCTAGTATACAAGGATCAACATCAGCGAACATGGTCGACAATCAAACTCAGCTACGCCAAGAAAGACGTCAATTTCTTTCTGATGATGAAGAAGAAAACGATTGGAGGCAAAATCGGAGAATGCGTCAACCCAGTGCGCCAGACTTTGAAGAACCGAGTATTGGAAATCAGCATGAGACATCACGTCAAACTTACGACTATCAGCATACCAACTCATTCCAGCAACCACAATATGGCCTTCCATTGTGCAATGCTTTGAAGGTCGACAGCGTCCGTCTCCCATCATTTGGTGGCGACATACGTGATTGGCGCACCTTTTGGGCAGCTTTTGAACATGCAGTCGACAAGCAACATTATCCGTCTTTCCAGAAGCATCTTTTACTTCTGCAATATCTCAAAGAAGGATCAGCGGCCAGAGAAGCGATTAGTGGTTATCCACCTTCTGACGACAATTACAAAATCGTCAAGGAAATTCTAAAGAAGAAGTACGGCAACGACGACCAACTTAGCAACCAACTTCAGGCACAACTCCTCAAACTTCCGCCCATCAGGAACAACCTTCGAGAACTCACTCAGTTCCAGAAGGACATTGAAAGAATTTGCCTTCAACTGGAATATTTGGACAACCAATCGCCTATGTTCCTATGCAACATCATCAAGTCCAAACTTCCACATGGCATTCTCCAAGAACTCATCGCAAAGGAACTTGACTCGCCTAAGAAGTGGACACACAAAGAATTGCGACGAGCTCTGGAAAACATCGTCAACATTCGACAAGCCACCGACGAATGCATGAATTCATTTCACGACGAACCACCACGTCGACAAGAAGTGCAAAGAAGTAATCAGCAACAAGTGCGTCAAGAGGTTCGACAATTGCCACGCCAAATGGAAAATACCAGAGCATTTCCGGTATTCGCCAACGCCAATAACACCAGCGCCAATTACGCCAACGCCAATTACGTCAACCGTGGAGAACAACAACTTCCACAATCATGTTCTTTATGCGCCGTCATTGGACACAAACCAAGCAGGTGCCCATCATATTCGACACCTCAGCAACGCAAACTTCGTCTATTGGAACAAAGCAGATGTTTGAAGTGCCTTCAGCAAAGTCATACGACAGAGCAATGCCAGCGATCTTTTATTTGCCGTCAGTGTGGAGGCGACGACCATCACTTCCTCATTTGCATACCACCACAGGCAAAAATTGACTATCCAACTCCTCAATCGGTCTCATATGCACCACGTCTAGCGTTGCAATCTTCTGTTCAATCGCCAACACCATCGGCAAGATCAGTGCAACAGACAGTTTCAAGGATGCCTCAACGCCAAACACCTCCGCGCCGAAATGATCGACCAATGCCAAAAGTAACTGGTGGAAATGCGACAGCACTCAACAATCAACGTGCTACGACGACAATGAGTTCACTCCAAGAAGCAACAGACTCTGTTAAAGAAGTTAAGGAAGAGACTACACCACCAGTCAGTGAAATTCAAAAAGAAGCAAATGAACCGGAAGAAGTCAAAGAGGAAATAAAAGAAGCACCTGACTCGTCAACTTACTTGACAGCACGACAGAACGACAATAAAACTCATTTAATGACAATTATCATCAACGTCTCGTGCCCGGGAGGTCCAAGAGAAGGAATTCCAGCAATGGTCTTCTTCGACTCAGGAAGCCAAACAAGCTACATCGCCAAAGAACTTGTCAATCGCCTTCAGCCGCCAAAACTTTCTGAAGAAGTACTTCGCATACACACCTTTGCGAATCAAAACCCGAAGACAGTTCACTCACCACTTGTCTCAATTCGTCTAAAACGTCAAGACGGCGAATGGGAGCCGATGCAGCTTAACACCATCGACGAAATTTCTACTTCAATGGAAACCTTCCAATTCATTGGACAAAACGACTGCGTCGAGCCAGTTAAAGGAACACCATCAATATTAATTGGGATTCGTGAATTCTGGAAATTCGTCACCGGCTTTCAACAACTTGGCCCCAAGCTCTACAAAATTCAAACCGTCTTTGGAGACGTCTTAGGAGGTGAATCTTGCTTCAAGACGACTAACTCGCCTAAAACATTTATGGCACTTACCGACGACGACAAAGAAGACATTCTTAAACCGAATGACGTCGAGAATTTTTGGGCACTCGAGTCTATTGGAATTAAGGAGAACCCAGCTGAGAAAGACGACGACACCGCCATGCGACTATTTGAACAATCAATACGTCAAAAACCCAATGGCACCTACACAGTTCGTCTACCTTGGAGGGAACCTCGACCTACCATCAACTCAAATTGGACAATGGCCTATAGCCGCCTTCAAGCTAACATCAAACGCCTAATACAATCGCCTGAACTTCTCGCCAAATACGACAAAAACCTGCGCGACCAAGAAGAGAAAGGAATAATTGAAGAAACCGGCCGCGACAAAGAAGAATTCTTCATGCCTCATCACGCCGTCATTAATCCAAAGAAGCTAAGAATTGTCTTGGATGCAAGTGCTCATCCCAACGGAGCAGCAAGTCTTAATCAAGCGTTGTATAGAGGACCTGTTCTACTACCAACACTCGTCGGAATGCTCATACGTTGGAGAACATGCCTTATTCCAATTTTGTCTGACGTCCAAGCTGCCTTTCACACCATCGAAATGCTACCTGAGGATCGACAATTTTGCAAAATTCTTTGGCTGCGCGATGTGAATAAACCAATCACCACAGACAACTTGGTCGTCAAACGGTACACTAAGATGGTCTTTGGGGTCATCTCATCACCTTTCGTCCTAGCAGCAGTTTTATTACATCACTACGCCAAATTCAACACAGCATTATCAAAAGAAATGGCAAAGAACACGTACGTCGACAACATCCTCTTTCAATGCTCAACAGAAGAAGAGGCCCTCGACAAAATGAAGACCGCCAAAGAAATATTTAAGAAGGCAGCAATGAATTTAAGAGAATTCCTCAGCCATCGACAAACAATTATGGAACAAATACCAGAAGAAGACCGACTCGATAAAGCCAAAGCGCAAGTCTTGGGCATCAAATGGGACACCGACAATGATTCAATCACACACAAATTTCCTAAAGAAGACGTCAACATCGTCACTCGGCGAACAGTACTCAGCGCATTGGCCAGCATATACGACCCGTTGGGACTTATCAACCCATGTCTGCTTCACGTCAAACTTTTCTTCCAACGACTATGGGACAACGAAAGAACATGGGATACACCAATAAATGCAGAAGAGGCGACAGAATGGCAAAGCATCAAGCAATGCTGGAACGACCAAACCATCACGCTTCCTCGACAAGCAATTTTAGATAACCCAACTGAGTGGCAACTACATGTGTTCAGTGATGCATCTGAAAATGCCTATGCCGCCTGCGTCTATCTGAGAACGTCAAATGGTCCAAATGTCAAATCAACACTCATTTTTGCAAGAAATCGTCTGCGCCCAAAGAAGGCAAAGTCAAGCCTCACCATCCCAAGAATGGAACTACTTGGTGCGCTCATAGCCGTCCGAGCGAAAATACACGTCGAAAAGGAACTACATCGACCAATAAGTGGCGTCCATTTCTGGTTGGACTCACGCATTGTTCTGGCTTGGATTCAATCCGTCGAACCAAAACCTCAATTTGAGCAACGACGACTAACAGAAATTCGTGATTGCGCCAGAGGAACCTTTCATTTCGTCAGAACCGACCAAAATTCCGCCGACATCGCGACACGTGGTTCAACACCTATGGAACTACAACAGTCGACTCTTTGGTGGAATGGCCCCGAATGGATTGTTCAACCATCCGACGATTGGCCTGACGAGTTATCTTTCAACATCGACAAGCAAACAGACGACAATGTCACCACCGACAAATCCGACACAATAACATTCTCGACTAAAGAACCAGAGCCGCCGACAATAGACCCTGGAAGGTTTAGCTCCATCTTCACTCTTCTTCGAGTGGTGATCTGGATTATCCGCTTCATGGGACGACATCGACCGAATGTTCTCAACATTGGAACTTCTAAAGTCTCACGCCAGGGACCTATGACTGTCGACGATTACCGAGCAGCACGAATCTTCATCATACGGCAAGAACAGAAACGTCTATTGGAAAGCTATACAACACACCCCACGGCAATTAACAGCGATGGACTTTTATGTTTGAAAACCCGCGTCAACTTCTGCAATGGCCCCGAAACAATGGCACTGCCAATCCTCCTCGATCGACATTCGCCATTAACTCGACTATTGGTAGAAGAAATACATGTGGACCTCAAACATGCTGGCGTCGATTGGACAATGACTGAATTCCTCAGCCGTTATTGGATGCCTCAATCTCGTCGAACCATCAGAGGAATTCTGCACAAATGTCTTCAATGCCGTCGACAACATGCACCACCGTTTGTCCGTCCATTAATGCCTCAACTGCCGACTATGCGTGTTCGACCAGCAAAGCCTTTTGAATTTGTTGGTATAGACTTCCTTGGTCCGACTACAACTAACTACGCCGGCCAAAACGTCAAAACCTGGATTATCATAATCTGTTGTATGGTAACCCGTGGCATTTACCTGGAACCAACTCGAGATATGTCATCAATCTCCGTCGTCAACGTCTTACGTCGATTCATCAGTCGCCGAGGCAAACCACGACGAATATTGAGCGACAACGCGCCGACCTTTATTCAAGTGCACAAAGCTTTGGATCTTCTCACTGGACCGCCTCCTGAAAAGCCGCCTTGGGACTACACGACGAAAAATGGCATACGCTGGGACTTCATACCCTCTTATGCACCGTGGATGGGAGCAACATATGAACGACTCATTGGACTCGTCAAAAGAGCAATTCAGCGCACCATCGGCAAAAGAATTCTCGACTACGACGATTTAGGAGCATTTTTGGCAGAAGTGGAGGCAAGCGTCAACAGTCGACCAATTACTTGGGTGTCCGACCAACCTGGAGCGCCGAAACCGTTAACGCCGAAAGATCTCATACAAAACAGTGGACCAAATGATCTGGGACCAACCGATTGCGACCTCGACTACGACGACGAAAAATTATCTGGACCGGAGAAACTAGCCGCAATTTGGAACGCCTATAGAGAAGCAGCAGACGTCTTTTGGTCTCGATGGAGCAACGAATACATTTTGGCAATTAGAGAACGAGCTGGATGGACACACAAAGGACCTCGTTCTCAAACAACATCACCACCGAAAATTGGTCAAGTTGTTCTCGTCGAGATGGATCTTCGACCAAGGAATCTATGGCCCTTAGCAAAAATCGTCGAACTTAATGGCTCGGCTAATGAAATCCGCAGCGTCAACCTATTAACTGGAGATGGAAAAATCATCACTCGACCAGTCAGCCGACTCTGTCCTTTGGAAACCGAAATCGACGAACCCTCGACAAACACCTCAGCAATTCAAGATGAAACGCCTAAAGAACCAACGAAACCAATCCATCAACATCAAATGACTCTTAGACCACGCAAATCAATCGTCAATACGACAACACTAGTGACCTTTCTTGTCTTACTCGTCAATATTGTAGGATTTGGAACGACAACACCATGGTATCGATGCGGACAATACGACTATTCATGTCTTCTAAGTTATTCGACAATTGCTTCAGCACTTTCCCTCTACGAATACAAGTGTGAGAATTGCCAACTCCAATGCTCGAATAAAGGTGTAATCGTCAAAGCACCACCCGAAGTTCAGAAGACTGCAGTTTGTTGTATGAAGAATTGTATCGACCACACCGACATGAAGGAGTACACTTATGAACTCACCGCCGAAATCATCATTAACGACTATGAATGCGAAGCATGGTTCTGGCAAAATTCCGTCAACAGTATAACAAAGAAGATTAATTGCCCAGCCGTAAATGAATGTGACCTAATCGACTGCTACTTTTGTCTCGAACAACTCGCCAATCCAACTTGCAACGTCAAATGGGCTACGTTCCTGCTCTTATTAGGAATCTTTGCCTTCAGCAGTTTATTTGGTTGCTTCATCACCGTCTTCAGTTCAATGCGCATCATCGTCAAGTTAATCGTCAATAGTTTAACAACAATAAGTTATCCTTTCTTTTGGATGTTCAACAAAATTTGCAAGAAAGACAAAGAAGCCTGGAAACGACAAATAAATTCCGCCGAGAGGAAATTATACCACCGACTAAGAAACATACATCGTCCAGGACACCAATTGCGGAAGAAATTTTCAACCATCTTATTTATTGCAGCAAGCATCACGGCAATCATAATTCCGACTATGGCAGTAATTTCAATCACAACTCAAACTGAAAGCTGTTTAAGAGGGACGACAGGATTGACTTGTACCGTCAATAGTGCCAACACACTTACACTATTACCTGCTGGCCAAGTCAACACATTGCTTCTTCGCGACGAACATGGTCTAACTCTTGGCACACTGTCAATGCGTCTAACATCTTTGAAAATGGCCTGCCATCAACAATCAATCGCCTGGTTACGTTCTTACCGCGTCGAACCAACAGCTGTCAAAAGATGCCCTCGAGCTGGCTCATGTTTCAACGACCATTGTGAAAATGTGCGACCAAATAGTTACGTCAAAGAACTACAAGTTGGACGGGAACTACCTGGCAACACTTTCTGCATTCCATCGACTAGTTTTTGGGGCAACAATTGTGGACTACCAACATCAGCTTGTCTATACTACCGATATTTTGCTCGACCAACCAGTTCAAACGTCTTCGAAGTCTTCACCTGCCCAAGTTGGAGCCCACAAATAGACGTCGAACTAAAACTAGAAACCAATGGTGGCAAACGACGAACCAAATCTATCATTTTACATCCCGGCATCACATCATCATGGGAGAACATCACCATCACACCCTTGGCAATCTCTCTTCCGCCTATGCCAGTACTTGGATCAACATTCGTCACTAATGGACAAACCGTCTCAATCGTCAGTCGACTACCTGTTGATCTACACTGTGCGACAGAAGAAGCAGCTCGATCATTAAACTGTTCACTCGACCAAGAAGCCTGCAAAGAATGCTTCCCAAACCACAACGACGGAACCGTGGAATGCAACTGCCGAGATGTGGACCTCGATGCAATGATGGAGAATCCAGAAACACGACTACCAATCACCAGAGCAAAAGTATGGCTGGAAAACAACGGACCATCAATTTCAGCAACATACGTCTATGCGCCTATTCAAATACATCTTCAAATGAAAAGCCTTGCACTCCATCTTCAACTTCGTGATTCAAAATGCTTCATGGATGAAGCTCGACTAAATGGATGTTACAGATGTGGAGCTGGAGCGCAAATAACATACAAATGCCGATCAGACAACGCCAACGTCTTAGCCATCGTCAAATGTGAATATGGGATTTTATTCGTCGCCCATTGCTCGACAAATGGAACCCTCGGCAAAGAAGTGATCCCAATCGACTATCCAGATGTCGACACTATTTGTACCGTCGACTGTCCGGCTGGAGAGACCAACTTCAACCTCAATGGCAGCCTTTATTACATCCCTCTTCGACGACAATGGGGACATCAGCAACATCGATCAAAACAACTTATTTTGGACCCAGAAACATTCAGTTTTTGGCCCGATCTTGGATTCGACTTATGGATACTCGGCAAACTTCTTCAAGGAGGACCAATTTTCCTTGGCATCATAATGTCAATTGGACTTGCTCTTCTCGCCGTATACCTATTCATGCGACTATCGCCAATATTTCGAATTTATCGGCAAATGGCCAGAACAATTACCATCTTTGCAATTTTGGCACAAGTGCAAGCAGTCAATATAACAACAATCGACAAACTCGAACGAATTTCGTCTGCGCCTATATCGTCAAAATACACATTTGGATGGAATCTCTTTGGAATTGCCGTCGTTTCGACTAGTATAATATGCCTAATGATTCGAACCGTCTATCTACATACGCCAAAACCCTTTCGTCCATTTTTCCGACAAAAACGCCAAAAACGATTTGCGCCGATTTTACCCTTCAACTCAACATTTTACATTCCAATCATAATTATTGCACTTTCTGTGTGGCCGGCCGGATGTTCCCTTCAGAAAAAGGAAAACAATTTACAGCGACTAACTGGACCACCCACATTCAATCTAGCTGAGCGGCAAAATGACATCATACTTATTGCAGCAAAGAGAACTAATAAAATTCCAATCGACTATCAACACGCTCAATCATCATGGGAAAATAAAATTATCGTCAATACGCCTAGTATTATAAATATACAATTTCAATCAACAATAATTCATTCATTCAACAACTCAGTTCTGTTCGTCTACGCCAAATTCAAAATGTCTTCTCGTCCATTATCGCCATTCAACAACGGAGGTTTTGGAACACCTCGTAACAGTCGTCAAATGGAACCGCAATTCCCACGAACACCTTCCCCACCTCGCAATCGTCATGCATCAAATCCACCTCCGTTTAATCGTCAAATATCTCCAACACACTTACATTCTCGTCGAACCGGAAATCGTCAACGTCCAGAAGTTACAGAACGCCTAGATGAATATATAGCAGCACGATTTGGGAACAATTGGTGGAAAACCGTTGCGACTATCGACAAAATCAACCGGCAGCTTAGAGGATTAATGATACGCGACCACACCAACGGCAACAACATAACAGACTGGGACTGCATCACCTACAAGCCAGCACAGAAGCTACTGGTTCAACCCGGCGAAACAGTGGCACAACATTGGCAACTGAAAGGACTACCGATTAGGGAACCACATCTCCCTGTACTACGACAATTTGGTGGCATCCGTGGAACATCGCGTCAATCTCGCCAACGTCAACGTCGAGGATTTATCCCTTGGCAAATGGGATACGACCACAAGAGCTACTTCCCTTTACAAAATTTGGAAGTTATTATTTCAACAACACAAGCAACGCCTGTTAATCGTCAAGAAGAGCAACAACCTCGTCAAATTCATGTAATCACCGAAGCAACGCGTCAACAAATCATCACCAAACTTGACAAGACAAGAGACGAAATCAACGACGTAATCAAACTTGTTCAACAACTTGCACCTTCTGAGCAACCTTCAACCTCATGGAGTTGGAATGGAGGAAAGCAGTAAAGAAATTTTTTTTTTTTTCATTTTTATCCTTTTATTTTCTTTCCCCTTTTCATTTCTGTGTATTGTCTCCCCAATTCCTTAATCTCTTTTTTTGTAATTTTTTTCAAATGTTTGGAATGGATGCATCATCAACTCAAATGTCATCAAAATGGGTCCTCGTCCAATGTTCAACACATATCGTCTAAACGCCTAAACTTTAACGTCTAAACTTTAACGTCTAAACCAACAACTCTAAACTTCACAACAAAAATTCATCAAATTAAAAAATTAAAATGCATCTTCATAAATTAATTTTATTGGCGAAGCCAATCAGTTTAAATGATTTAAATTAAAGAACGTGGTGAAACATCATAAATTTAAAATACATCTTCCAACAATAAGCAAATCTTAAAACTAAATCTTAACAACAAACTTACAAAACTTACAAAAACCTAAAATCGACAAATGGAATATCGACTAACACTTTAAATCGACTAATCAACTTAACCATTAACAACTAAGGACCCACTGAAGTGCCTGCCCGCGGCAATGTCGAAAATTTCTTCAAATTTTCGTCGAAGGAGGAAATTAATTAAATTATTAATTTTTCCTTTTTATTTTTTATGACATCACTTTTTAGTGATCGTTATCGCCTACTTTGCTCTTTCTCTCTTTTTTCCATAAAATGGATAAATTTATCCATTTTATCTTAAATTCCAATCTAAAATTATTAATAATTTCTATCCAAAAGGGAAAAAAGGGAGAAAGTGTGCATTTCCGCCAACATTATTAAAAACATATAATTTTTTATGTTTTCCATTTTTGCCATTGCCCCACATTCTTTACCACACACATTAATTATGGCCTATTTAAGCCAATTTTTTCCCCTTACACCAACATTCTTACATTCATACATACATTCTTTTTAACCTTTTCCTAACCATTCCTACCAGCCTTTTAATAACCACACACATACAATTATAATTTTCTTTAATTAAATAAATATTTTTTAATATTCTTTTGTTTTAATATTCTTTGGTAATATTCTGTGAATATTCTTTGGGAATATTCAGTTGTTCGTCTATCGTCTAGACTTGGCCATCCATCTCAAACTTTCGCCTATTCGCCTAACACTCTTTTGGTTTGCCACGTTTTAATCTTTGGGATTAAGACGCTCATCGACTTCAACACACTTTCGACTATTGTTTTTAGCGGCGAACTCCTAGTTCCCTCTTGGGAATCCCGACCTAGGTAGTTCCCGTTAAATTTGGTCAAAAATAACATCTCGAGGAATATTTGAATTTCCTCCTAAATAAGCTGCTTCAATTCCTGCTTGTCTAAAAAATGAAAAATATTTGGTTAAATTTCTTAATATAAGGTTTTGATGTTTAGAATATTGAACTTCTTGTTAGGTAATAGACGTTGAATTTTTAAAAAGATATTTGGAAGTTAGGAAAGTAATAAAAAAATACACTCCTTTCCGAAAACTACCACCCATCCGCCCAAGCCACTACTAACTAGATCAGAGTAGGGTTGGCGGATCTTGTAAAATCCGTGAATATATCCAGAGATCTGATAGCCGTAGCAAAAATTAAGGATAACACGGCATTTTTCGGATTCGAATCCCAATCCTATACTTCAATCCTACGACCCTACCTCAAAATAAAAATTAATACAAAATTAGACAAAAAAGATATTTTAAGAACTATAAGAAATCAGGGACAAAAAACTGATAAACTACCAAAAAAGTTTTTTGTTAAATATTTATAGAATCCCTAATATATTTAAAAAATAACATTAAAACCCTCAACTGTAAAGCAAACACTTGATCTTCCATTAAAGATATTAGAGGGCTAACAACCAAAGTAATAAAGCCTTCTTGTAAAAGTGCAGGCATTTGATAACAAATACTTTTTCCATAGCCCGTAGACATTACAACAAGTTGATCCCTTTTAAGAATTGCAGAATGGACAATTTGGTATTGTAAAGGACGAAATTTTGAAAATCCAAAATATTTTTTTAAAATTGAAATTGTTTCGGAGGATGGAGTAACTGAATCGAGTTCATCTTCATTTTCCTCGTTATTTAGTAAATTTGGACAATTTTCTGGTTTATCATTAATTTTAGGCAATAATTGATAACTTTGGGGCTAAAATTAGGTAAAAATCAGAAATTAAATATTTGGTGACATTTGATCCCAAAGGGTGACATTTGATCCCAAATTGTGTCCCAATTAAATATTATTTATTGGGGTAGAATAAGAGGTTTCTTGTTTCACATTATGATGAGAAACAACCCTAGAGCATTAAATTCTATTCCTAAACTCCAAAAATAAATGAATGTTCTCCCAGAGTAAAACAATCAAAATTGAGGCCGTCTTCTTACTATGAGCATTTCTGAAGAATTAAGGGGGAGCCCATCAAGACTACCATGATTAATTTAAAGTAAAAACCTGTTCATCAAGTGTAACACTTGGAGAATCCACAATTTCCTGATTTTCAGTCGCAAACAAATAATCATCGGAAGTGTCGTAAAAATCATCGTGAATCATTTTTTGGATTTGAGATCTTAAAAATAGATTTTAATAAATTTTAAAAGCAAGTACACAAGTATTCCAATCACGAAAAAATAACGAGTAAAACAACCGTAGGCTAAAAAATAAAATTGGCAACGAGAATTCACAAAGAAAATATTTTTACTTTTGAAAGTTATCATAAAAAAATTTTTTTGGCGTTATGAATAAAAATGGAAAAACTAATACATATTTTGCCAATAACACTTTTTGCCAACAAGGGTAAAAACCCGCATTTTGTCACAAGTTTTGTTGACAAAACGTGATTTTTAGCCTAATTGGCAAAAGATGGAAAAGGCAAAATTTGACAAATATTCAAGGGTACAGCCCAAATCGGCGCGCGGCCATAACGGCGCAAAGCCATAACTTGCTGAAAAATGATTGCCTCTTATCAATTTTGGGGGTACAGCCCAAGTAGGCGCGCGGCCAAGTAGGCGCGCGGCCATAACTTGCTTGAAGATTGTCTAATATTTCAAAATTTAGTATAAAATGGTTCCTCTCATCGAGCTAAAGAGAGCCCAAAACAGCCCAAAACGGCGCGCGGCCATGGGCGCTTCTTTCAATGTTGGATGGTTTACAACATTTTAGTCAAATTGAATGCGTGCAAAAAGTCTAATATTGGTTGGATAAACAATTTGCGATCCGATGCATCTTTGGATAAAAATGGACGTCTTATTCGAATTACACCTCTTTCTGGTTATTAATTTTTAAATTTATTATTTTATATTCTATTTAGTTCAAATTAATCAACAAATCAGAACACAAGCTTCTCATCATGTTGTTGGCACGCTCAGCCATTTGGCGCAGCGGTTTGCTCTCCCGGAGGGACGTTCCTGAATGAAGTGAATTTGGAATTGATTGTCGTTCTTGGACTGTTGGCGTAAATCTTTTGCAATTAAGGTTTGTGTTTTTATTGAATATTTGGCACTATCTAACAATAAAATGAGTCCTTTTTTCCTTGCATTAACAAAGGGTCAATTTCTTCTTTTTGTTGGATTAACTATAATGAATAGGACCCAAATGCCCATTGGTCCTGACCCAAAACATGAAACAAAAAGAGAACCCAGAAAGAACTCAGAAAAAAAGTCAAAAAAACAAAAACTGTTAATTTCTTTGTTTTTTCTAGTGTAAGGATTAGTTTTTCCTCAGTTTTAGATTTTTTAAACTTTTTTCTCTCCTAAAACTAAATTTGAAGCAAAAAAGATGGAACATTTTTTGCTTCGCTTATTGAAAAAAAATTTTTCTAGACTACCAACTTTGGGTCTCTTTTTCATCCAATATTACCTCTAAAACACTCAAACGTTTATCACCTACAAATAAACTTGGAAGAATTTCATCACAAGTTGAAATGACTACTTTAGAAGCAAAAACTGAAAAGCAACTTATTTTGAGGGTATTTTTTGTATTGAAACTATTTTTTAGTTAAAATATTTTTTAGCTTCAACAACAAATTGCTCAACTAACAGATCAAATCCAAACTAAACGGGAAACAACCACAAATGATAAAAATGGCTTTTTGCTCTTTTTGGAAGGAGGCTGAGGGAAACTTTGAAAAATGACAGTTTTTTTAATATTTTTTTTGTTTTCCGGAAATGTTTAAAACTTGGGTAGCAACCAGACCCTTCGGGGTAGGGGATCGGGGTTTGCCTGGGAAGGCATGTCGGGGTTTGGGGTCGGGTTGCTACTCTAGTTTAAACTTATTACTATTTTATAGTAATAAGTAAGGATCGCTTAGGGTGTTTCCTCTCCCTCCCGTCAAATAGCCAACCGGATTTAAAAGCTTATGAGTATTTTAGGAGTATCTTCTAGTGGGGTCTGATTATAATGTTTTTAAGAATGATTCTTCTAAGATTGTTCCAAAAAATTTATCTTTCTTTTTGCCTTGCCATTAGAATTAGAATATAGGTATATCTGAATTTTTACACCTTCATTATTTTAGCAAACACTATAGCTATGGCAATAGTAGTAGCACCACCACCAATTAATACTCACCAAATAATTCAATGTTTTACTCCTTTTTCTGGCCGCCATCAAGCGGTCTACTTTAGCATTCATTTTTTCAGAATTTAAAATTTTAAAAAGAAATTTCTCTAAATTTTAGATGTTGGGTATGTTTACTAATGTTGGGTATGTGCTTAGTAAAAGGCTGAGGCTTTAGCCAGTCGGTGTTTTGAGATTTTTCTAACAAAATTCTTTTTACCTTTTTTTCGTCTTACAGCTGGATTTATTTTTGTTCTCAATTTTTTTACATTTAATTTTTTAGTAATTAAACCAAAACTACAAAAATGTCTGCCATCCCTCCACCTCAAATTGTTACTTCTCCCTCCAATTGTATTTACTTCAATTCGGGCCCTAATCAAACAATTTATTTTAGCGTATTTTTTAATATTTAATTTTTAAAATTTTTGATTTACCTTAGATACAAAACACTGGAACTAGAATGATTATTTTCAAAATTACAACCAATTCTCAAATGATTTTCATAACCCCAACTACTGGAAACTTGAAAGGAAAAGAAGAAATCAAAATTCAATTAACAAAAAGATGCTCGGCAAAAAAATCAGAAACAATAACTATTGAATGGATGAACAAGATATTTGGGAAACAAAATTTATTTGCTTCAAATGGGATAGTCTTCACGCCCCAGATACAATTTTCTTTAAAAACTTTCTGTCCAGATTTAGCCAATTGGTCCATTCTATAGTGAATATTTCAGATTCCTGTCCAATATAATAGCCAACACAGGTAATTGCGAACAGCATTTGGGCCTTTCCACTAATCACACCAAATAAAGGTGTGAAAATAACCAAATAAAGGTGTGATTAGTGGAAAGGCCCAAATGCTGTTCGCAATTACCTGTGTTGGCTATTATATTGGACAGGAATCTGAAATATTCACTATAGAATGGACCAATTGGCTAAATCTGGACAGAAAGTTTTTAAAGAAAATTGTATCTGGGGCGTGAAGACTATCCCATTTGAAGCAAATAAATTTTGTTTCCCAAATATCTTGTTCATCCATTCAATAGTTATTGTTTCTGATTTTTTTGCCGAGCATCTTTTTGTTAATTGAATTTTGATTTCTTCTTTTCCTTTCAAGTTTCCAGTAGTTGGGGTTATGAAAATCATTTGAGAATTGGTTGTAATTTTGAAAATAATCATTCTAGTTCCAGTGTTTTGTATCTAAGGTAAATCAAAAATTTTAAAAATTAAATATTAAAAAATACGCTAAAATAAATTGTTTGATTAGGGCCCGAATTGAAGTAAATACAATTGGAGGGAGAAGTAACAATTTGAGGTGGAGGGATGGCAGACATTTTTGTAGTTTTGGTTTAATTACTAAAAAATTAAATGTAAAAAAATTGAGAACATAAATCCAACAGTAAGACGAAAAAAAGGTCGAAATTTTATTAGATTGTGAAATGGATGAACATTTTTCTAACGCTGAAGTAGACCGCTTGATGGCGGCCAGAAAAAGGAGTAAAACATTGAATTATTTGGTGAGTATTAATTGGTGGTGGTGCTACTACTATTGCCTTAGCTATAGTGTTTGCTAAATTAATGAAGGTGTAAAAATTCAGACTTCTAAATTCAGACTTCAGACTTCCTCAAGTCATGCATTGAGTTTTAAAATTTTTTATTTGTTCCATTTTGAAAAGAAATGAGGGCCATCGTTTGCCACATTTTATGCAAAAAATTTAATTCATTTATCGATGATTTAGGGTGGGTTGGGGGATCACCTTCGTTTTACTCGAAATTACTTTAAATACATTTAAGACAAAAAATAGCTCTGCTTTTGCGTATGTGATGAATATCTATACATCAAATCCGAACAAAATTAAAATAAAGCCAACCTACGTAATTGTTCAGCCTGGCGATGTTTTGAATTTTGAAATAACAATAGCCTTTGGTGCAGCTTCAAAAAGACATAATCTACGTAAAATCTATTCGTCTTCCTAATAATTCTGCAGGCCAAACTTTTCAAGAAATGTTTTCCAATGCCGACTACTACTTAATGAAAAATTATCCAATTGTATATAACAGGTTTGTTTAATTGGTGAAATTTATTTTTAATTTGAAATTCGTTTAGTTAATTGTCTTGAGGTGTTTTTGTGGTCTAAGAAAATTGGAGGATTTATATAAAATATCCTTCTTTGGGAGCATTGCTTCCGTTGTTATTGCTATATTCATGAATTCATCAGGTTGAACAATTTCCATGTTAGGATTTATTTTGATTTTTAATGGATTAGATGAAAAGCAATGCATCACAACAGCATGTTTGGATTGTTGTGAATCCTTTTAGAGTCTTCCTTTTTTTAAATTCACAACAATCCAAACATGCTGTTGTGATGCATTGCTTTTCATCTAATCCATTAAAAATCAAAATAAATCCTAACATGGAAATTGTTCAACCTGATGAATTCATGAATATAGCAATAACAACGGAAGCAATGCTCCCAAAGAAGGATATTTTATATAAATCCTCCAATTTTCTTAGACCACAAAAACACCTCAAGACAATTAACTAAACGAATTTCAAATTAAAAATAAATTTCACCAATTAAACAAACCTGTTATATACAATTGGATAATTTTTCATTAAGTAGTAGTCGGCATTGGAAAACATTTCTTGAAAAGTTTGGCCTGCAGAATTATTAGGAAGACGAATAGATTTTACGTAGATTATGTCTTTTTGAAGCTGCACCAAAGGCTATTGTTATTTCAAAATTCAAAACATCGCCAGGCTGAACAATTACGTAGGTTGGCTTTATTTTAATTTTGTTCGGATTTGATGTATAGATATTCATCACATACGCAAAAGCAGAGCTATTTTTTGTCTTAAATGTATTTAAAGTAATTTCGAGTAAAACGAAGGTGATCCCCCAACCCACCCTAAATCATCGATAAATGAATTAAATTTTTTGCATAAAATGTGGCAAACGATGGCCCTCATTTCTTTTCAAAATGGAACAAATAAAAAATTTTAAAACTCAATGCATGGATTGAGGATCTTGGACTTCTTCCCGTTCAATAACTGAAACTATAAAAGCTATCTTTCCGAATTTATGAGGGTGCAGACATTCAGAGATATATTCTAATTCTAATAGCAACGCAAAAATAAAGATAAATTTTTTGGGAAACCACTTTAGATGAGGATTAACAAAAAGAATCCGTTTTTCATTTCCATTTTTTTACATTTTTTGTGATGGGAGAAGATCACCCATCACCCTACTCAATGAATTTCTATTAAAAAATATTTTTTACTAATTTTATTGCTTTTAAATTTTTTTTTAAATATTTTTTCTGGAATAAATTTAAATATTGCCTCAGGGTATAAATTTTAAATTGTTGGAAACTCAAAAAATTATTTTTTGAATTAAGCAACTTTATAGGTTTTAGGAAGAATTATAAGACCCCCAGATATAAAATCTATGGCTAGCGCCAACAATATCTTCCTTGCCTCGTTTATTTGCTTCAAAATCCAGTTTTCTTAAAACGACTTTCATTCGTTCCAGACTCTAATAATTTCATTCGAAAAAGTGTTCTTTCCATGTATATATCTGTTCTCTTTATCTATTATATAATCATTCTATTATCCCTTTATCCATTTACTAAAATATATTTTTTTTAATTAAAATTTTCGCTCGTGGTTCTCTTATGGGTGGGTGTAAATTAGTGTCAATTTCCCTTTATTTCTTTCCATTTTTGGCAGGTGTACCTTTTCTGAAAGCCCTTAACATTGTTATCCGTGATTATTTTTAAACAATTTTTATATCATTCGAAAGCTCTTGGTGTGGAGATTATGGAGATTCAATTGCGTGCAGCCCTGATAGGGACCCTATTCCACCAACGAATACTTCTGTCCCTATGGCTCCTGTCCCTATGGACGAAAAACTGCTTTATTTTTGGTGCATCTGAAAAGTGGTGGTGGTTGACTGACACAAACACACAAAGCATATTTTTAAAACATCAATGGTGTAATAGTAAATAGTTGGGGAATAAGACGAAACAAAAAATAATGCTCTTGAGGTAAAAAGGTGATGAAGTCGTAGGGTGAACATTGTGTATGTGTTATATGAAGTGTGTGTTCTCTCTCTCTCTCACATGTACGAAAATCGAATTTGTGATATATTTTTAGTTGTTTAGAGAACAAAAAAAAGAAGAAAAAATATTTTTCTTTTAATTATTTTGATGATAAAACTACACATTTTTGGGAAGATTATATCATTTCAGCAGTAAATTTTCGAAGAGTTTCGAAGAGCTTCGAGCCTAGAAAATTTTTTTTGAAAGTTTTGAAGAAATTTTCCAGCACATTTTCTAAAATCAGCCTTTTTGGTGTTTAAATTAGCGGTTTGTTCACCACCGGTTAATTTTTGCCTGTGGCGGCTCAAATAGAGAAGAATAAGATCATTTGAGCTGCCACAGGCAAGAATTAACGGGTCGTGAACAACACGAGTTTAAATTATCTAATTCTTCACAATTGATTTTACAAATCATCTATGTGACTGGTGGCTCAGTTGGTAGTGTTATTCCCTTCCAGTGTTATTGGGCGCGGGTTCGAGTACCTTCGAGTCCCGTTGTTTTTCTTTCTCTTATTTTTAGGCCGTTTTCTTTGGGTTTTCAATTTAAAAAAATTTTCTAGGCTTAAAAATTTTTTTTCTAGGCTTAAAAAAATTTTTTTTTTGAAAAAATTTTTTAAATTTTTTCTGAATAGCATTTTTATAAAAACACTCAATGTTTAAACAATTTTACTCGTTATTTTTAATGTTTGCGTTTTTAATGCACTTTAATTTTTTTGTAAATATTTTTTTGTATATTTTCCGTCAATTTTTATTTAAAAAATTTTTTTAAAGGAAAAAATAAATTTTTTAATAAAAATAATTAATGGAAGAACAACAAAGAAATGATGACATTCCAATGATTGACGGGGCAGAAGCTTCTTCTGGTAGTTCTTCCGCAGCAAATAATACTTTGTCTTCTTCATCTTCTTCTGCTCAACGCTTCTCTATTGTGGATGTACTTGGAAATGATGATTCAATGAATAGTAGCGGTGGAGGGCTTTCTAGTGATGGAAAAGAGGGTGGAAGTAATTCTGCTATAGCTACTATTGTTCCTGTGCCTCCGGATCCGATGCATTCGGTTTGGATTTAGTTTTTTAATTTTAAGGTAAAAGGGGGTAAGAAGGTGGGAAAAAGGTTTCTGAAGATGATTTTTATTAAGCGCTTTGATTGTTGCTCACTTTACCGTTGGGGTCTCTCGTTTCACAATTCTTTTAATTCCTTAGCTTTTTTTACTATCAGGGCTATGGGTGTTTAAACTCTTCCCAATCGGAGAAAAAATAAAAAAATACAAAAACGTGATTTTTCATTTTTTTGCCTTCATCATTTTTGGGTTCCGATGCATTCGGTCGGGATAGAATTTTTTGTTTGTCATAAAACCCCCGAATAGTCCATCGCTTAAATCAACCACAGAGGCTTTATGGACCGTGTAGGGGAAGTGTTAAGGATGTATATAGTAACTTTTGTTGTAGTCTAATTGATTTAACTCCTCACCTTTGAAACTACGGGATTTTTTGGACAAGAAAAACTTAAGGAAGTCATTTACTCGAATAGTCCATCGTTCTTAACTTTTGTCATAAACCCTTCAGTTTTTAATAAAAAATTAATTTCTAGGCAATGTATGACTATGACGAGGGAGCAGTTTTACAACGCTTGCAATTACTCTATCCCTATACTGATATTCAAGTTGTTTTTTATTTAAAAAATTTAAAGAACTTTTTCTAGAAATTGCCTCGAATTTGGAGTAAAACAGATCGTTGGTCACTCCCCCAGCAAAATAATAGTGTTAGCCAGCAATTGCCAATATTGGAACTTTCTGCCGATTTTTTGCGTGTTACTAAACGTTTCTTTTTGTTTTAAAGTTTGAAGACTTTTTTGTTTTTTTAAGGCAAAGGAACTAATCAAAACAGTAAAGACGCCGCAGCCGTTCGTGCAAATAGACCAATTCCACGTTCTTGTATTGTTTATTATTTTGAAATTACTGTTGTTAGCAAAGGACAAGATGGGTTAGTTTTGAAAATTATTGTAGTTAATACTCTAAGGGGTTAAGTAGTTTCTATGGATCGATATGGATCCAGATCGTGTTTTTCTTGGTCCAATGTCATGATCAACTGAAGGGAAGATATCAGGATTAGGGTTGCCAAAATGGCCCGTCTCGGGCCGAAAGATCGAGTCGGGCATAGGATATTTGACCCGAAAAAAACTTGTACCAGCCCGACTCGACAAAAATGAGGCCCGAAAAAAATGACTCGATCGTCGGCCCAACTCGAAAAAAAAGTCAGCCGACTCCTAATCAGGATGGGAAGAGGTTTATGATATATCTTTAAAAATCAGATTATTTAACTTTTTGAGTTTTTAACGAATATTCTTATAGTCCTGAATCTCCTCTTTAATTTAAAGTTAAATTTAAATCCCTACCTCGACTTCAAAAAAAGTTATGGATCAAAAAGTAAAGTACTCCCAGCCCAACCACGCCTATTTCTCAAATTAAAACTTTTCTTTCAGATTTATGGGTATTGGACTTTCTGAGAAAAATGTTTCATTAAATCGCTTGCCTGGTTGGGACCCAATTTCTTATGGATATCATGGGGACGATGGAAATTTCTTTTCGTCATCTGGCAAGGGAGTTGAATATGGACCTACTTTTACTACTGGAGATGTTATTGGGTGTGGACTGAATTTTGTGACTAGACAATTATTTTTTACGAAAAATGGACAACATTTGGGTATTTTTAAAATTATTTTAAGTTCTAAATTTTTTTTGAACATTCCCAGAAAAATCAGAATTTTTGATTTAGTACTTAACTACTTATTTAATTTTTTCTAACATGTGCCGCTATAGCTCAGCCGGTTAGAGCGTGGGTCTAATAAGCCCAAGGTCGCAGGTTCGATCCCTGCTAGCGGCAGATATTTTTTTCTTGGGGAAATATATTATGTAAATGTTAAAAAAAATTTTTTTTGGAACCCCAACAAATTTATTGAAAGAATTGTATTTTTTGGTTAAGTGGTTAATTTTTATTTTCTCCCCTAATGAGGTTGTGGGTTCGAACCCTTTCGGGGTCAAATATTTTTAAATTAAATTTGAACTCATTTTTGGTGTTCTTTCTTGTTCTTTTATGCTTGAAAAATTTTTTAAAAATTTTTCTAGGCGTTGCAAATGCCTTATCCATTCCATTAAATAATGATCTCTTTCCAACTATTGGAATGCAGACTGCTGATGAAATGGTTTTCTTAATAAATTTAAAAATTCGACGTTTTTTGTTTAGATTGACGCTAATTTTGGTCAAAAACCTTTTTTATTTGATATGCGTTCAGAACTAAAAATGGCTGAAAAAGCAACCATGGATAATATTAATGCTATAGAATTGCCTGCAGAAAAAGTTTTGTGGATGAACAGGTTTTTCTTTTTTTTAAATTAAAAAAAGATAATGGGTTCGTTTTTTTCTCTATCCAATTCTATTTTTTGACTGAAGGATTTATATCGGTTTTGTCATATTCCTAAATCTACACAAATTAAGTGCCGTCTCTGGGAAACGATCCAATTAACTAAATTAGAATAGATTATTCTACGGCAAAAGAAAATCCATTATTACCTTACTTGTTTACTTGACTCATTCCCCAACGTCGCCGAAGGCTGATTTATATAGAAATATTTTTACAATACTTTTGAAAATATTTTAAAACATTAAATCTCACGGAACCCTTAAAAATATAGCATATATGGAGGTAACGGACACCCCCCCCTCCTTGACCCCATGACAGTTTATCCCCCACTTTTCCCCTATAAATCCTCACAAAAATAAATGTCGAACACAAATGAGACTATTACCCAAAAAAATTTTAAATTTAAATTAAGCCTTGTTTCAAATTGGATGGCTCATGAAGGCTATTCTCGCGCTTTAGACGCTTTAAATCGTGCGACAGGAGGTGGAACTAGAGGAGAACTTTCACAACAATTAGCTAAAAGCGATTCTCAAGTTTATTTTAAATTTTAAAAAAAAATTAAAAAAATTCCATTTAAAGGGTTCAACAATAACTTTTGATTCCAAAGATTCTCAATCACCAACAGTTGCAGCAGAAAAAGTAGCCGAAGTTGTAATGAATTCAATGATTGGATTATTGGGTGGAAATGGTGGTGAGAATTCTTCTACACAACCTCAAGGTGGAGGAGGAAATGTTAGACGTTCAGTGGTCCGTTCAGTTCAGGAGGCTCTTTATGAAGAAATGGAACAACGCAGAATTCTTGTTCGTATGGTTAAAAAGGGACAATTGGCTGATGCTATTGATAAAATCGAGGTTTAAATTGGATTAAATTTGGTGTAAAAACATTTTGAAAATTTGTGGGGAACATTTTAAATATAAGAGTGGTGTACACAGCAACATAACCTGCAACTTAGAGCCGTTTCAGTGGCACTGAAATAAATAAAAAATTTTCTCTTTTTCTATATCGCTCTATTTTTTTCGCATGCTATTTCTCCAAAGATTTGATGTATAATTTCGAGAAGCCTTATCTCGGAAAAAAACTTTGAGAAAAAAATTTCAACTTAGCCAAATCGTTAAACAAAGTCTTATCTTTGTTTTAAAACCAAATTTATTGATTTTTAATATGTTTAAAAAAAGTTACATATGGCTTTATAAGTAAATTTAGAAAATGAAAAATAAAGGAAAAAATTGTTTTGAAAAAATTTATTTTAATTTAAAATGACATTAAATGTTAATTAGAAAAGATATTATTAGGATTTCCTTATTATATAATTAATTTTCACTGAAAGGATTCGAACCTCTTGCATTTTTCGCTGCCACTAACCAACTAAACCATACTCCCGCACTGAAACGCTGGTTGCACCCTCTGCCTGTTTTATGTTGCTGTGGTGTAATAATCTTACGTTGGGGGCCGGCTTCGATCCTTCATCCTTCTGGCTTGTCTCTTTTCTTCATTAAAAATATTAACATTTACCTTTTGAAAAACCTTATTAATCAGGGTTGTTGGTTCCTGGAAATTTTTCGGATATCCGAAATCGAACCGAATAACCGAATCGAAAATCATTGGCCAGAATCGACAACTCTGATTAATATAATATTTTTATAAGAATTAGAATAATTTTTCTGAAAACCCTAAACTTGAATAAAAAAATAGTAAGGCAGTAGTTTTTATGATTTTTCTGTTAATTTGAAAGCATGAAAATTTTTTTGAATAAATAAATTTTATCTTAAACAATTTCAGCAATTATTTCCTTCTTTGTTTGAAACAAATCGACAACTTGCATTATTAATAAAAACACAGCATTTTATTGAAATGTATAAAGAAATTACTAAAGTAGGGTTTTTTTTAAATTTTCACTAGAACATCTTTTTGATTAGAAAAGTTGGGCCTTTTTCGGGTTAGACAAGTTTGGGAATAGAAAAATTGAGGAATTATCGGATTGCGTTTTAGAATATTTTACGGATCGGATTTTAATTTGGGAAAAGTCCGGGGTTTCGGCTACCTTTTGTGACATTCCTGGGATGGGGTCGGGGTTTTAGAATTATAAAAGTTGGGGTTTGGCAGGGTCAGGGTATAAATTGAAGTTGGCCCTCAACGAGGGGGGGACGGGGAATTTTCAAAAGAATCTCTCGAATTTTCTCGATTTTCGGAGACGAGGGCCAACCCTGGCCTAAATCAGGGATTGGATCTTTTCCGCTTCCACTTTTATTTTCTTCCACCTTCCTGCTTTTTAAGATGTGACAGGGCCCTTGTTCATCCACAAAAAATTATTTAATTTAAAGGAATTACCTCCATTACCTCAAGAACAGCAACAATCAAATAATTTAAATGAAAATAATTCACTTTCAACTAAACAACAATTTAATAATAATAATAATTTATCCTCCCCATCTCCACGTCCTTCAAGTAGTAGAGGGGGAAAAAGAAGTGCTTCTGCTGTAGATGATGATGATGATTTTACAATGATTCCGAGTTCTTCTAATGATGAAGGGAAGAATTTGAATTCTGCTTCAGATTTGCATAATCCTGTTAAACGACGTTCGAGTAATGGTAAGAAAGAAAAGGAAAAATTTTTTTTAATCCTGGGATATTTAAATATAAATAATTGAAATAGCCTTTAATCTACTCATTGATGTCATTTTTTGCTTTTTGTTTGGGTGTTGTTAATAGGGTTGTCGTTTCTGGACCGAACTGAACCGAAGAAGAAAGGATTTTTCGGTTCATTCTTCGGTTCGGTTTTGGATATCCGAAAAATTTCCTGGAATCGACAACTATAGTTGTTAACACCATTGTTTGGAAATTTGAAATTTACTCATTCCTCTTACTAATATCCCCTATTTTTCCTTGTAAGTACTCGTACATTGATGATTGTAACGTAACAATCAGACACAATTATTTATTGTTAAGTGCTGATTCAATGGTTTATTTCAATGATAATCCAGTTTATATATAATACTTGAGCTTAAGTTTATATAAATTTTTTTACAAAATTCTAGTTTTTTCTTGCAAACTTGGAAAGTTTAAGAAAATATTCTTTAGTTTTTACTTTTTCAAGTTTACTCTTAAAAATTATGATTGTTGTTGTTTTTTAGAAGATAATGAACATACAAATTCTTCACAACAACAAAATGGCAATTCAACAAATAATTTTCCAAAACGTGATGATTTTATGGAAATAAGTGAAGAAAGTCGTGATGGTGTAAGTTCTTCCTCTATTTGTGCTACAACATTGGAAGCTATGTCTAATGGGGATGGACGTTCTAATGGATGTTCTTTACTCGTTGGAACACCCCCAACAAGCACAACAATTATTAAAGAGGAAGATTCGAGTGAATTTGTTTCTGGAAATGAAGATGAATTGGGTAAGGGAAAAATTGTTTTTTTGAAGAAAAAATTGTTTCAACTTAAACAGCGGAATCGTTGGGCCTCGGAGTAGGTCGAATCCTCAACTTGCAATGCTGGGATTGAAACTTAAACTTTCTTTTTACTAAAGTTTTATTGACAAATAGGGTTGGAGGTTAGGTCCGAAAGATCGAGTCGGGCATCGAATTTTGGCCCGTAAAAGTCTCGGTCGGACCGGCCCGTTAAAATGATGAGAACGTCGACCCGACTCGAAACCCAACCCTATTGGCAAGTAAAGATAAATCAAAATTTAAGAGGAAGGGAAAGGAGCATTTCCTTTTAGAAGCTTTCAGGAGCTAATCAACCTGACTGACCTTTGTGATTTTGATTAAAGTTTTTGGTGACCGGTGAATTTTTCCTTGTGACAGGTCAAATAGAGAAGAAGAAGAATAAGAGCTTTTGCACTGCCTCGGAGAAGAATTAACCGGTCACCAACAACCTTATTTTTGTTCCCTTAAATTTATACCCTCCCAAAGTAGGTGTAACATAAAATTATTTGACAAAAAGTTTGAGGAAAAAAATTTATTTTTGAAAATTTTTTGAAGAAAAAATTTTTTCCTTTGCAGAGCTTACCTTAGACGGATTTAAAATGGAAGTTGAATGTGAAGATGGTAAAGACGAATTAACAGAATATGGAGGTTTTTCAACCATGGAAGAACAAAAACAATTTGTCCGTTATGCCCCACTTTTGGAATATGGACAAGAAATTTCACGTTTTGCAATGAAAATGGATAATATTAGTAATGTTGGGGTAGATGATGGGCAAAGTGTTCAAAGTTGTGCAGCACTTAGGCACAGAATGAATGTTTGTTTTAATTTTGTGATCGAAGGATGACCGATCAGGGGTGTCACGGGTTGACAGAAGCCTGGACTTTTTCTGACCCGAAACCCGATCAGAGAAATTTTTCAAGAACCCAATCCGAAATCTGACCCGAAACACACTTTTTCACAACCTGTGATATCCCTTCCACCGACGGTGTCTTTATGTATTCCGATTTGTAGTTGGTATGGATCCATTACGGTAAAATTTAGGAGCCTCGTATTATCGGTATTTTTTTAGTAGTCGGTAGGGTACGGTAAAATACGATCGGTAAAAATCTTGGAGACCATTGGTATTTATCGGATTACGGCGTAGAATACGCTACGGTATTCTTTTTCGGTATTACCCTAAGAGGATGCAGTACTTTAAAATTTCGGGGTTCATCAGTATTTCCCGGATTACGGTAAGGGGACGGTATCGTAGAATTTTTAGAGTCCTCAATATTCATCTGTATTCTTCGGTATTACGGTACGAGATACGGTACAGTATGAAATTCCGATATCTAGTTTAAAATTAATTTTTCTTCAAAATTTTCTTAAAATTTAAAGGCTGCTTTCTCACTTTTATGTTATCGTGATCCTAGTCATTCTACCAATTTTTATTTACTTGAACAAACTCAACGTGATATTGTAGCTAAAGCACTTAATGCTGCAATTATTGGTGAGGGGATTTTTCAAAGAATTTGAAAGAAAAAATTTTTCTTTCATAGAATCCCACGGCAAAGATGGTACCTCACCTTTAGAAAAATGCCTTAACCGCGCGCGTTTTATACGTGAACAGGCTTTGACATATTCTGCTTCTGCAGTTTTTACTGATGCTAATCGCCTTTTATTTGGTGAAGGAGAAGGTTGTTTGGATGCTTGTGGCAACAGTAAATATATACTTGATCTTAATAAAATAAACTTGGGGGAAGTTTGTAAACTTTTGAATATAAGTTTGCCTTGTAAGGGTTTACATGGGACATTTGGTAGGATTAAGAGGGGTATTTGGAGGATTCTGGGAGGGTGGATATCATGGGATTTGCGAGGATCAGGAAATTTAGGGATTAAGAGAGATATCAAGGGATTTGTGTGGATTGAAACTTATATTACCCCATATAATCACAAAACAACCCTATTATTGACCCATGTATTCGCACCGATTCCCATGCGTTTACTTTGACCATTTTGAGCTCGCAAATAAAATGGGGTAAAGTAAATAAGTTCCGGTGGATAATAGGGACAGTAGGTGATCAATAGGACATTGTGGATTACGGTAAAGTATAAAATTCTTGGTCTCCACTTTTAACTAACAAGTTGACGTTTGAAGAGGTTTTACAATTTGTATAGAAAGTTGTAATTATTAAAAAAATTTATCTTTTAGACGAAAAAACTGAAGTTCATCAAGAAGAAGGAATTGACGTAATAAAAGCTCCTTTTACACATTTACCAAAAACGCCACAACGTTTGAAGGAGACAAAAAAGAATTTATAAAAAAATTTAATAAATTTTGGGTGATTGAAATTCTTTTTTTGACAAAAAAATAATTTTTTCAAAAATATTTGAACAAATTTGTCAATTTTCCTCTTTTTTTTGTCTATACAATTTTGTGACCGAAAAATGTTTCTTTCTCCTTTCTTTTATTTTTTAAAATAAAAAAAAATTTTTTTGGTTTATTCTTTCTATACACAAATATTGTCAATACTTAATAATATGAGAAATAATTTTTTTAAAAATTCAATTTTTTATTTGTAAAATAAAAAAAATTTTTTTCTAAAGTACTAGAGCTATTCAAGACTCTTGGCATTGAATAGGGTTGTCGGTTCTACCAAATTCTTTGGTTACCCATAATATTTTGCCTCATGAGAAATACGGGAGAAAAGGAAGGAAAAATGAAAAAATAGAAAAAAGGGTAGGGGGGGGGGGGGGTACGAAACCGACTATTTCCTCGGATAGTTGGAAATCCTCGGATATCCGGATTCAAACCGAAATCTTCCGGATAATCGGCCTTTTTTCGGATTAGGATCCGACAACTCTAGTATTGACTTGAGACCTTACGTGAGGGGTTATTGAAAATTTTTTAGTTCCTGGACAGCTCTAAAAACACCTATTCTTAAATTGTATTTTTGTGCTTTCATGACAAGCAACTAACAAAAAATTTGGCAATCCAGGAGAATTGTGGTCCCTGCGAAAAAAAAGTTTAAAAATAAGGAATTGGATTTTTCTAGGGTAAAAAAACATGCTGATTACGAATCTGAACTCAGATTTTGAAAAAGTCGAATCCCGGGCCCGAATTCGGAATTTGAATTGACTCATCGAATCGGAATTGACTCATCGAGTTGCATCGAATGACACCAAATTCGATGAAATCCGACGTGATTGGACCGAGATACAGACCCCGGAATATTGAAAAACCCACAGGGGTGATTTTTGGTGTAAAAAAAGTTTATGCAAATTATACCTCATTCGATAGAGCTCGTCGTGCAGAGTCGAATGACACTAAAATTACAGTAATTCATCAAGTTTTGTCAAAGTTATGACATAATTCGCCGACTCCTACAGTACTTCCATAGGTGTACTTTATGCCATAACTTTGTCGAATCTTGTCCAATCACGCTGATTTTAGTATCATTCGATGCAGCTCGACGAGCTCTTTCGAATGAGTATCATTTGTATATTCGAAATTCGGGTTCAGGATTCGAAATTTGGTTCGGGTCCGGGATTCGACTTTTTCAAAATCTGAGTTCAGATTCGTGATCAGCATATTTTTTTACCCTAGAAAACCACTTTTTCTTATTTTTAAACTTTTTTTTCGCAGGGACCACAATTCTCCTGGATTGCCAAAAATTTTTTTTATTTATCTTTAATTTTTAAAGGAAAAAAATAAATCTTTGGATGTATTTTAAAATATTTTTTAGTCATCATTTGTATAAAAATTGTATAAAATTTGTTTAATAGTCAAAAAAAATTTTTTTTATAAATTTATAAAATCAAGTAATTTATAAGATAAAAAGAACAAATAACTTAAATCAAACGTTCAACTTTTAAACGTTACAAAAAAATTAAAAAAAATCCCCCAGCTATTTATCCTTTCAATTTTCCACCTTAATTTACTCATCTTCAACATGTTGAACATCATTCTCCTCCTCTTCATTTTTATCATCTTGAAGAAAGTCAAAATCATTAATAATTTCCGGATCCTCATCTTCAACATCTAATGTAGTCTTATCTTTACTCTTTTCCTTCTAAAAAATTAAATTAGTTTTTAATTAAGTAGAATTACAACCAAATCATGATAGAATCGAAATCTTCACGGAATCCCCAAATATCGAAATAATATAGAGGGAACATTTTTGGGGTAAAAACTAGGATATCAATTCGAAGGAGCTTGTAGTGATTTTGCTCGGGCCCAGATTGCCTCCTGTCCTTTAGTTTTGACAATTTTGAGATCCGCCCCAACCCTCCAATATCTATTCAATTCACCTTATTTACTCCAAATGTACTATCCATATTAATCACGTAATATCTCTTCAGCCCTCTTTATCACTCAGAATCCCTGATATCCCTTCAAATCACCTATCTACCTCTAAATTCCTTTATATCCGCCTTAATCCTCCAGTATTCCCCTAATGTGGATGAAAAAGAGAGAGTTCCTTTACTTATATAAGCGAAAATTGGGTTAATTTTTTCCAGACCACACGGAGACAGATAATATCCGGATATCCTTTGCGCCGGGCCACTTTAGTAAAGCATAAAATACTAGTTAGTATGATACCGTCCGGGCTCTAATTTAAAATTAAAATTACTTGTGTAATTTTTCCATTTTCATTTTTCTTCATTTTATTAATTTGTCGAAGCAACATTTGGTATTTGTATTCCGTATTTGAACACCTAACCTTCATTTTTTCACATTCTTTTTTTAAATCTTCTATCTCCTTTTTGTGTTTAGTTTCCGATTCTTCTTGTATTTCCTTCTGTTAATTGAAAATATTCAGATATTTTTAGTACTTGTGTAGTTTCCCTCCCATAAGCGTAAAAAAAGGGCGGAGCCTATGGGGGGAAACTACACTAGTACTGAAATTTTAGTGGACAATTTGATAGTCCAAACTAGGGTAGCAACCAGACCCTTCGGGGGCAAGTATGACGGGATCGGGGTTCGGGTCGGGGTTTTTGCTTAAAAAATCCGTCGGGATCTGGTTGCTATCCTAGTCCAAACACTGATTTTAATTTACCTTTATTTGACCTCCATCTTGAACAACTTTCTTTGAAGGATCATCAACTAATAATTCTTCAATAAATTTGAATGTATCTAAGGTGGTTTTAGTCAATAATTTATTTACTTTTCCAGTTGTAATGTTCTTCCTTAAATTAACGTGAAGTTCGGAATTGATATTTCCGCTCTAAATTTAAAGAATAATATTTCCATCTTTTCTTAAATTTACTTGAAAAGAAATATTTCCAACCACCCAACCACAATTTTCAAGTTTTGGTCGAGTTGTTGTATTGTTAGGATTGGGCATTGGATTGGGGTAAGTCGGGAACATTTGAGGTTGAATTGTTGAATTAGAAGGATTCGACATTGTCGGAAGCATTTGAGGTTGATTTATTGAATTAGAAGGATTCAACAATGGATTGGTGTAATTCGGGAGCATTTGATATTGTTGTTGTTGTTGGTAGGATAGTGAAGGCATTAATGGGTGTTGTAGTGTGAATGAAGGAAAAGTTTGCCCTAATTTTATGGGGGTAAATTTGAAATATTTGTCATTCAAACCAGAAGTGGGTCGGAATTCCGATTTCCGACGTTTTTTCCTTCCGATTTCCGAAAAAAAATTTTTGATTTCCGATTTCCGACTTTTGAGCTAGTTCCAATTCCCGGCTCATCCGATTTCCGAAACCTCTGACTGTTCCAACTCACCTTTGATTCAGACCAAGCTTGTAAATACAAAAACCCAGGAGATGGGCAAAAGATTGCCACTCCGACTGGGCACAGGAGCGGGTCCGTAAAGCGGGTATTTTGATGAAAACAGGGTTTTTGGGGTTTTATCCTTGAAAAGCTTGTCCAAGACAATTCAGAAGATAAACCCTGGGTATGACCCCGGCATTTGTTAATCTCCAACAAATATAAATTAGTACCAATATTATTCATTTTCCCCATTTGATCGTTTTGTTGAGATTTTGTTTTGTCGTTTATATTCGAATTAATCGGTGTCATTTAGTTTAAATTGTATATTCTTAATCAAATTTAAGAGAAATAAACTAAAAATGAAAATCTATAAAATGAAAAATAATGGTTAAATAAGTGTATTTTTGCTGCTATTTAAGGAAAAATGTGGAGAAGGAAGGAGGAGTGAAACAGAACACGGAGTAGTTCAACTGAGTACCGGTTCAACTGAGTCCCGGCCCTACAACTCAAGTAGGGGTTGATAATTTTTAACGTTCTTAGTATCACTGGATGGGGCATTAAATGGGCTACAATATACCTGAAAATCAAAATTTTCGATTAATTGTCAAAAAAGTTATGATTTAAAGACTAACATCTTTCAAAAAATCTGATTTTCGGCACTTTATCGATCATAACTTTTTTATTTGTCGGTCAAGAATTTTGATTTTTGGGTATATTCTAGCCTATTTAAAGCCCTATCCATTGGTACCAAGAACAAAAAAAAGTGACCATCCATTCATAAGTTATAGGGTCCGGGAACCAGCTTAGTCATGACTCAACCAGCTTAGTCATGACTTAAATTTGGAAAGATTCGAAAATTTTAAAGCAAGTTATGGCTTGGCGACCTTATGGCCGCGCGACTATTCGGGCGTGTCCCAACAAAAACGAACAGTTCGAGGAACAATAAAGTCGCCCTTCGGCCACGCTATAAGAGGAAGAGGACGTTTCAGCTCGTCTCTAAATTTTGTTTAATACTCTTAGTTTTCTCTCGTTTTTCACTGTTATTTTTTTATGATTTTTATACCTTTTAGGAATAAAGTTTGAATTTTTCCAAATTTTTAGCCAGTTAAAAATGCTTTCCCTTCCAACTGAAGTTCAGCTTGATGTATTAAAATGTCTAAACTTCAATCAATTATTCAATATTAAACAAACAAATTTTTACTTTCGCAATTTAATTAATAAATACGAGGGAGAATTGGCACTGGTGAAATTCATGAGATTTTCAATAGTAAATATATTAACTAAATATTTTTTAAAATCAAATTTCAGGTCGGTGTAAGCACTATCAAACAAAAGTTTAAAGGATTAAAAATTATTAAACCTAATTCAGAATCTGTTAAATATAAATTGAGTGATCGATTGAAGGTTAAATGGTGCAAGTGCTTGTAGGCTATCCCAAAAAAGTTTTTGCGGACATATTTTGCGGACATATTTTTTACGGACATATTTTGAGGACATATTTTTTGCGGACATATTTTGCGGACATAGTTTTTGCGGACATATTTTGCGGACATATTTTTTACGGACATATTTTGAGGACATATTTTTTGCGGACATATTTTGCGGACATAGTTTTTGCGGACATATTTTGCGGACATAGTTTTTGCGGACATAATTTTGCTGACTCATAATGGTCAGATATAAAAAGGAAATCATTCAACTCCCAATATTTCCCCCCAAATGTCCGAAAAACATTACATCGGATAAAGAAAGGGTAACAATTATGAGACGTTCTGACAATTATAGTATAATTAGTCCGCATAAATACTTTTGCGAAAACTTTTGGGATAAGCCACAAGTACACTATTAAATTTCAAATAAACTTTTAATTTTTCCAGTGGCAGACAATGAAAGATAAATCCATTTTACCTTATTTACGTACGGGACGGACTAGGATTTTACTTAGCAGGACAGAACATTTTGCTAAACCTGACAAAGAATTTGCTATTTATTTGAAGAAAACAGGTTTGAAAATAATTATAAGGATATAAATTACAAGCTTATAAGCACTACTAGACAACAGTGTTTCTAACCTTTTACGTTTCGTTTTTAAAATCTTTCGGCACATCCTGGTTTATAATAAGGTTTGTGGATAGTTGATAATCCTAAAATATCCGGATCCGATATCCGAGCTGAAAATTTCCGGATATCCGGACTTTTTTCAGATCCGGATCCGACAACCTTAGTTTATAAGATCGCACCAAAATCCGTATTAGTATTTTGGTTCGAAGTACGAGGCCAAAAATAAAGCATTAATATGAGGGCTAAAATTGGGGAGGTACGAGCAAAATAAAAATTTATAAATAGTAATACACACTAACGTTTTATAGATGTCTTATTTGATGAAGTAAGATGCCTATATTTCTATCTTTTAGGGAACTACAAAACTCATTATATTCTAATATTGCCGAACTTCCCAAAAAATATGTATGAAATGGTTACTGTTCGTTACTGTTTGAAACAACTTTCTAAGTGTGCTTTTGAAGATGTCGTATTTAATGAAATTGTGTTTAATCCAGCAATGATTAAATTATTATTTGATGAAAACAAAAAGTTTTCTCTTAACATTCAAAACCCAATTCTTTATGCTACAGGATATTCATTTGAAAATATTTGGAAATTTTCTTTAAATTGTGTAGAAATTTCTGAATGTCTTCGAATCTATTTTGCTTCCATTTCTACTGAACATTTTGATATTATTTCAAATATATTAACGAATGAGGGCAAAAAATTACCTAAAGTTAATTTTCGATTTAATAACCCAGGACAACAATTTTATCTACAACTATGTGATTTTATTGTTCAAGTAAGTTGTCCACACTTTTTTTGAAATAAACATGTAATAGCCAAGACCGTAGCCAGGAAAAATTGTAGGGGGCCGGACACCAAAATTTTATCAATTCAGCTTGAATAGCTCTCGAATGAGCTTTTATTTGCCTATGGTTTTTGACCATTTCGACCCTATATCTCGGCCCCTAGGTATCGGACCAGCTTCGTCCACACCAAGTTCGACTCGATTTTCCTAGCTCTTTTGAATGACACCATACTTGGTCTGTTTCGACCACGGAGAAAAAAAGGTATATAAGTAAATATTTTTGGGCTGTATCTGAAAGGTGTGCTCGGATCGCATTTTTCCTTACTTTCTTAGACCGACTCGCAATGGGGTCAATTTTCCTTAGTATTTGATGTTTGTCATAAGGCAAAATTGTGTAAAAATATTTTTTCTCTGCTTATTTTGTTGGGTGAGTGACAAAACTCGGTCTTACAAAACTCGGTCGAGACAAAACTTGGAACGACCAAGTCGGTTTTACCAAAACTCGGTGCAATTTGTCCGTTGTTGTTTTTCCGTCCCGTTAGTTAGCCTGACACAAAATAAAAAAAAGATAATAGCACTCGTCCAAAAAGACCACAAACAAAATGGACAGAGTTTTGGTAAGACCGACTTGGGCTTTCCAAGTTTGTCCGACCAAGTTTTGCCTCGACCGAGTTTTGTAAGACCGAATTTTGCCTCTCACCCAACAAAATAAGCAGAGAAAAAAATATTTTTTACACAATTTTGCCTTATGACAAACATCAAATACTAAGGAAAATTGACCCCATTCCGAGGTAAGGAAAAATGCGATCCGAGCACTCCTTTCATATACAGTCGATTTTTTTGACCATTCCGAAGCAGGAAAGAATAAAAGCGAAATATCAGAGACCCAAATAGAGAATAGTGGGGGGATATTAATGTACCACAAATACATTTTTAGTATATAACAACATCTAAAGATTTTACAACAATGGTGCCTTCTATTACGTTCATGTATTCTGATCCTATAAAATTAAAACTAAGTGACAGAGCAGAAAATGTAGAAACTAAACGGCTTGGGAATAAAACAATTACAACATATGAAATTGCCAATATTTACAATCCAAAAATTAGATTTTTATGTTGTAACCAAGAATTGTTTACTGAATCGGTATTTAAAATTAAAATCAAAACAGAGAAGGAACAGGGATGGAAATATTCGGATTTTGTTGATTCGTCATACTACAATTATTTGGCAGATTACCGCAGACTAGGACATGGATACTGATTTTGGTATCCGGATATTTACGGCGGGTCAGACGGATATCCGCAGGCATTTTTATAATATCTGTATCAGGGTGGCCCTTTTGCCCTATTTACAGGGCATTTGCCATATTTTTGGCCTTTTCGCCCTAGTTTTTCCCTATTTTTTCATTTGCCATATTTTTGCCCTATTTTTAATATTTTGTAAAATTTTTCCAGCTTTAGAATTTAGTAAAAGAAATAGCAGAAAAAGGAAGAAATCAGGCTTCTTGGCCTCCAAAATTCCAAAAATTTTCGCCTCCGGCGGTAAAAACGGAAGTAATCTGACCCCTTGGCCTTCCAAAATTCTCAAAATTTTTGCCTGCGGCGCTGAAAAAGGAAGAAATCTAGATTCTTGCTTTTGAATATTAATAAAATTAAATCAGCCTATGGAGAATGTTGTTCAACTGAATCTAAATGATTTGGACATTTACTTAAGATTGGAGTTTTAAGTCTCAATTAGAATGGCCTAATCAAACTGAAATTAAGGAGAGAAACGTTGATTAGGATAGAATTCTGATTTTAATTGTCTCTTTATTTCTGATCCCGATTTTCTCAATTTAGTTAAAACTAGTAAAAAATATACAAAATAAAGTTTTTTTATTAAAAATTTTAATTATTTTTAAGCTTCTAAAAGAATGCCCTATTTTTTGCCCTATTTTTGGCAGATTTTGCCCTATTTTTGAGTGGCTGCGCCCTATTTTAGTGTTTTGGAAAGGGCCACCCTGATCTATATCCATGTCTTAGTCTGGATTACCTATATTGATTAATGAAAATAAATTTTGAATAAAATTTTTTTATAAAATATTTTTGATTATTATCTTTAAATTGGTTTAAGCCAGTGTTTATAAGCTCGTACCAAAATCCGTACTCGTACAACGGGACGAAATACGGGTACGAGCAAAAAAAAATAGGCCAGTACGAAGTACGAGCACTAGGAAAAAGTACGAGAAGATACGAGCAAAACCCGTACTTTTATTATGAGTACGAGGCCAAAAATACTTAGGTACGAGCTTAATTGAAATTTATAAACACTGGTTAATTCCTGTAAATTTCTTTTTACAATTTTTTAATTTTTTGTTTGATTTTTTAAAATTATTTCAGGAATTTCCCCCTATTTTTAGATAATTAAAAATGTTTTCTCTTCCACCTGAAGCAAAACTTGATGTATTAAAATGCTTTACTTTTGATCAATTATCCTCTGTTAAATTGACAAATTCTTACTTTTACAATTCAATTAATAAACTTGAAGAAAAATTGTGCTATCGAATGAAATTTAATCAAATCTCAATAGTAAATAACCAAATTTTCCTCTAAATTGAATTTTAGTTGGATATATACACTATCGCACAACGATTAAAAGAATATAAAGTCATTAAATCTGTATCAGAAGCTATTCAATATGAATTGACTGATTGGGTTAAACAGAAGGTGAACAATTAAATTTTAGAGGAACAGGCCAACGTTAACTCATTCATTCTATAAAGTACCCGCTCTAGCAGTAACTACCAAGAGGTCGCAAGATCGGGAGCAGGCCAGTGTACCGCGAGCCCAATGTACCGCCGAGCTATAACTTTCTTTAAAATTGTCGAATCCGTGGCGCCCTGGTATGGTTCGATTCAGCTGGTCGAGCCGCATCGTACCATACCAGGGCGCCACGGATGCGACAATTTTTAACAAAGTTATAGCTCGGCGGTACATTGGGCTCGCGGTACATCGGGGTGTACCCCGCAAGATCGTGGCCTGGCAGGGGCCATACCTCTTAATATTGTAAGGAAGAGAAAGAGAAAAGATCCAGCTGGCTAGCATTTAAAACGCTCACTAGGCGGGGGTTAAGATCTATTAAAAGAGAAGGTGAAAGCAGCGTCCCGGTAGCTCAGTTGGTAGAGCACCTGTACGTGGTGAGCGAAAGCGCCTTGCAATAACTGCCAGGGGTCGCAGGATCGAAGCCTGCACGGGATTAAACTTTTACCTCGCTCTTACTATATTTTAATTTTTTTCAGTGGCGGAGGGCGATGTGTACATACATCAGATTGTATTCACATACAGGACAGACAAAAGAGATGCTTTATCCGAATGAAGATTTTGAAGATTGTAACAATGGATTCCCTCCCAAATTCGCAATTTGTTTGGAGAAAAATGGTTTGAATAAAATTACTGGGATATAAAATAGGTACTTCCTATTTTCCCCTGTGCTTTGTTGACGGTTCTAGCTTTGTTAATAAAATATAGAAGTTTCGATTGCCTCTCATCAATCCTATTTTTCCTTTTCTTAACCGTGAAAATTTGTCCATCAAAAAAGGGATTAAATTTTGACATATAACTTGGTTATCGGGCCTTTCGGGCCAGTCTTCGACGAAATGATCCGATAAGCCCTTCCTCTAGCCAAATCATTAGGGACCTAATGATTCAGGATCCGGCTAGCGGAGGGCTGATCGAGTCTTTCGGGCTAAAATGAGATTACCGATTCAATCGGGCTGATCGAACCGGGCCCCAACCCTATGTATGACGTTTGTGAACGTATTATATCAGGGCTCTCATTCGTACTTTATTTGAAAGTACAGTACTTTAAAATCGACCTCCGTACTTACAAAATTGAATTTGTACTTTATTGAAAGTATGTACTTTAAAATCAACATTTTGGATTGAAAATGAAATTAGGGAAGGATTGGGCAAATAAGTGGATTTTTTTGGCCTACGGCCTTAGAAATTCTCAAAATTTTCGCCTGCGGCGCTGAAAAAGGAAGAAATCTGGCTTAAGGAACTCCAAAATTCTCAAAATTTTCGCCTTCGGCGCTGAAAAAGGAAGAAATTTGGCTTCTTGGGTGCCAAATTTAAAAAATTTTCGTCTGTGGCGCTAAAAATGGAAAAAATCTGTCTTAAGAACCCAGAAATTTCCCAAAATTTTCGCCTGCGGCGTTGAAAATGGACGTAAGAAAGTAGCTTGCTTGAGGTTAAGACTGTCAGGGCTTTACTTCTTGTGACAGCGAATTTTGACATGGCGTGTATGAAATGCACAAAATGCTCAGTGGAAACAAGAGATTATTAGAAAAATTCATTTAGCAGAGAAATAGTATAAAAGATTTGAGGGCGAATAAATATTTTGTAATTTAATTTTGAGTGTCCTTTAAATTTGGAAATTTTGTCCCTATGTACTTTAAAATCGAGATTTTTGTACTCTTGATTGGTATTTTGTCGATGAGAGCCCTGTATTAACGTATTAAAATATATTCTTTCTTGCTTATACAAGATACCGGATATATCAAGGATTTACTAAAACCCTGAACCGAGAAATTTTCCAACCCGATTTTTTTTCAACCCAATAGCCTTGTTATACACATACTTTTTTAATACGACAGATAATTTTCTAAAATTTTCTTTTTTTTTTTAGTGAAGGGCAAACCTTACCATTATCTTCTTATATTGCCAGACTATCCGCAAGATTTTAAAGAAATGGCTATTATTCGATATTGGTTAAAACAACTATTTAATTGTGCTTATGAAAAAGCTTTGTTTGATGAAGTTGTATTAAATCCAGAAATTATTAATTTATTATTTTGTGACGACAGAACAACTCTTCGTCAATTTCTTATTGATAAACCAGAAATATTTTCGAGATCATCTACGTTTAGAAAAATTTGGGAATATTCTTTAAATTATTTTAAAATTTATGAACGTCTAGAATTCAATTTTGACTCATTTGACAGCGAAGATTTTTATATTTTATTCAAAATTTTGCTAAATGAAGGCAAAAAGTTACCCAAAGTTTGTCTCAAATTTAATAAATCTGAAAAAGACTGGTTTCGTGAACAAGTTTTTGATCCTCTTGTTGATGTAAGTTTTGATGACATTTTGAAATAAATTTTTGCTTTACAAATATTGAGGGCTTAAACTCGGTTATGATTGACATTTATGCCCTTCGAGAGAGCAAGTCGGTCCTAGGACATTTATTTCAACCATGGGTGTGCCTTTCGACTTTTCATCTTTCATTAAAAATTTTGGACTTTTGCCTTTCACTTTTTAAAATCTGTTGCGGCACACCTAGGATATCGACCGTAAATATGTTTGGGACGGCGGTATCAATGGTTACCCGAACCCCGATACCCGGACTTAACGACTGTCAACCAGATCAGAAGAAAATTTCTCTTAACCCGTAACTTCTCTGTTATGAGCCCTCAAATACAATTTTATATTTTAGTACATAACAACGTCCAAAGACGACTTTTCAAAAATGGTGCCTTTTATCGTTCTTGATTATTATTACCCCTGTGGTTTGCAATTAACCGAAAAAGCAGAAAATGTTGAAATTGAACACCGTGCAAATTTAACATCTATAACTTATGAAATTGTTAATAAACACAATCCAAAAGTGAAGTTTTCATTTTGTAGCCAAGGATGGAAAATTGGAAGAAAGGTTTACAAAACTAAAATCAGAATAGTGAAGGGTATTAGACGAAATTTAAATTATGTCGATTCTTCGGACTACAAATATTTTGTTAATTAAGTTGATCGTTGAACACTAGTTTTATTGACTTTTTTTGAATAAATTAATATTTATAAAATTTGTTCCTGTTATTATTTAGCTGGTTAAGGCCAGTAAATCTATTTTTACAATACATTTTAGGGTAGCACCCCGAGCCTTCAGGGAGGGAGTGACGGGGTATGTCGGGGTAGAGCCTTCGGAGTTCGGGTCGGGGTTTTTGCGAAAATTTGTCGGGGTTTCGGGGGTGCTACCCTAATACATTTTAATCTTTATTTGATTTTTATTTTAACGTATTTCAGATTTCTTTCGATTTTTATTAGGTCGCGCAATAATTAGCCGCGTATTTTTTATAGACATATTTATTTCAAAATTTTCTGAAAAATTTTTTTATTTTTATTACGAATCATTTATTAGTGTATTTTCTAAAGGATCCCAGCATTTCAGAATTTTTGGGTAGGTATTCAGGGAGTTCTGATCGAAAATGTCAAAATTTTCGAAATCAT